CATGCAAAATCCGGCACCGTGTTTTTCTCAAAACACTCAACAGCCACTACACAGGCGATGTCACTTTAAAGAGGAGAAAAAAGCGGGAGTCTGTAATAGCCGCAAGCATAACATTGACTTCCACGCAAATTTCAACCTCTGCAGCAACTGTGGCCGCCAAATGTTGGAGAAAAAAGATTGTCAACAGACTGGCTGATAATGTTAGTGTTTATGAACCTAACAACCAACGACAGAACCAGCTGTAAGTTACCTTAGAGCTAACGTTAGCCTAATGGTAACGTATCTGGACACAGCTAAAATGCTTATCAATTTGCCCTTCACTGGCAACGTTAGCTAATATTTTTTGTTACCTTGTTAAACTACCTTTCCCTGGCAGCCGAAGACAGAAAGCTCTGGAGGAGCAGGTTAGCCGACAGACTTTAGGAGGAGAGCAGACACCGTAGCGTAGCTCACACACACAACTGTCCCGGAGCTCGAGGATGCGGAGCCGAGTGCAATGCTCTGATTGGACGGCAAAGATTCAAACTTTAACATTTGAATAAGGCGCCTTTCTGTCCAGGGTGTGTACTCAAATTTAAAATGCATATATTTATTACAACCCGCTTTCCAAACATTGACTTTACCTTAAAATTATAATGGGGAAAAAATCTGAAAAAATGTCAATGATAGTTATACCACTTCTTATACATGTTATACATTGACAAAAACACATTTATTCAACATTTTTGTTGTGAAAACTTCCATAATTACAAGATTTTTGTAAATTAACAAATAAATCTCAATAAAATGACAGAACAAATACTTCTTTTACTGTTAATTGTCAGTAATTTTATTTCATTTTATAATCTTTTTACAGTATTAAACTTGAAGTTAACAGTTTAATCTCTTATAATAATTAGAATCTAATATAATGTTATTGTAGCAACGGGTAATTTAGCCAATTGGCGTCATCAAATTTGATAAGCTTCGGGCACTGAAAATATCGCCCCAAGCCTATAAGTATCTTAGCAACCAGAAATAAGTGTGGGAAATCGAGATGGCGGCGTCAAGTAGACAAGACCAAGAACACACAGGGCTTCAGCTACCTGTAAATTCTGTAAATCACCATTTATGAGCACAATAGTGGTGGGATCGATCCAAATATCGATAGTATCGATACCAAGTCGGTATCGGTATCGGATCGATACTAGCCTGGTGAGATCGATTCTTTACTTTAAGTTCCGCTCTTGTTTGCAATGCTGCGGTTTCGGCAAAGAGGAAACAGCCAGGTAGCCGGACTCGCCGCTCCTGTGTCAGCGCAGAGCAGGCACACTTTGCTCCCGCTCCCCCCTCTTGTGTTCAGATGTTGTGTCGTCACGTGAGTCACGTGACGTGACTTAGAAGCGCAAAGCAAACAAACAAGTTGCCGGTTCAGGTTCATCAGCTCACGCACAGAGAAAATAAAACAGAAGAATGGCAGAGAGGAAGAGGAGCGCCGTGTGGCTGTATTTTCAAGCCGAAAACGAGACAACAGCAAAATGTGGGATTTGTAAAAAGCTAGTCAGGTATAGTGGAAACACTACCAATTTATATAAACATATAAAAAACCATCCAAAAGAAAACATGGAGCTACAAAAACGGAGAGGAGAGAAATCCCCCACGCCCTGGCCCCGCTGCAAGACCCCCTGTAACTAAAACCTTTGTTCTGCACAAACTAACTAAAGGCTTTGGGGGTTGTTAAGTTGTTTACATATTATTTATATTTTCACCAGTTGTTGTTTTTGTTGTTGAGAATTTTAATTAAATTTTTGTATTATAGTTTCTCAACAGTACTTGTTTGTTTTAATTTGTTTACTGGTTTGCGTGCACTTTTTATTTAAGATTTTTCTGAAAAAAATTTGATAATAAAGCATTTTCTATTTAATTATAAACTTTGTCCTTATTCTGTCCTGGGTTTTAACTATTTAATAATAAAAAAGGAAACATCACAAAAAACACTTGAGGTCGTGAAAATTAATTGAGATTTAGCAATTCAATGACTCATCCACCTTATTTATTGAAAAGTATCGGTATCGGCGATACTGGCCCGTATTCACTTGGTATCGCATCGATACCAAAATATGCAGTATCGCACACCACTAGAGCACAAGGATGACCTCCTGAAGTGTTTTCAGACCATCAGAGAGAAAGGTGAATTTGATGCAACAACTGTGAGACAGGCTGGGGGTTTTGAGAGAATGCTGGAAGATAAAGATTTATGTTTTTTCCTGGCATCTTTTCACAAGATCATGGCACATGTAGACATGCTGTTTAACCAGCTGCAGAAGAGGAACATCGACTCTGTCTACATCACAGGAGTCATTGAGAGGTTCACCAACAGCATACAAGCTATCAGGAAGGCTATGTCATTTTTCACATTGACTGTGTAATGTTTATAAAAAGAACAAACATAAATTACATGTCTGAACACAGTAGGATAACTCATAATTTTAATAACAATAACTAAGCCATTTATCACAGTTTTAAATACAATGAATCCAGTTGGGATGAGCTAGTAGACATGTATTAATGTAGTGACAATACACAGTGCTGGACTAATTTTATATCTCCAGCAGGTTGGTTTCTGAAGCCGTAATTGTGCACAGTGACTTATGTATCTTCTGTTTTGTATCAGGGACTCCGTTCCTCCATCTGTGTAGCAGCCATCCACAAAGAAACGGAAGGCACTAGGCCAAGAGGAGCAGCACCGGTTAGCTACAGAGGTAAGCTGTAACATTGTTCTATATGTAAGGGAGTAGATTTGTGCTTTGTAAATTATGGCAAAAAGGTGCAACACTGCCATCTATTGGCGCAGAGGTTGGCGTGGGAAATGCACAGTGAAAAAAGGACTTCACTGTGGTAAGATGTCCTCTTGCATGGTCCGGGATAATCAATGATTTTGTTAAAGGTTTCAGGTGTTCATGTTTTATATTTTGCTGTGTAATCTACTCATTGAGATTTGTGCTAACTGTTTTTAGCACTTACTGTGATTTGTTAAGCCATAGAGCTACTTTTTGGAGACTGTAATGATGCTAAACTAGCTTAAATGCTTACCCTCGTTCCATGTGTTGTTCAGATTATCCTGAGACCGATGATAGTTTCACACGCCATTGCTGTGCTGTATGCTGTGTTGCAGGTAATATGCTGTGCATTTTGTTATGTTACCTTTCGTGACATTTTATTGTATATTTTGCCTGTGTGAGCTGCCACCTGTTCAGCTAAAGGGTTAATATTCATTCATCTAAATTTAGTGTATTTCTATACTTACCTCATGGTAAATGTTGAAAGTGTTCTTAAAATCAATTTTATGTCACATAATGGATTATGTGGGGGGTTTGTACTTATGCTTGTGGAATAACAATATACACTATACGATCACACTAGGATGTAATTTTGTTTTTATTTTATATGAAAAGATTTGTGTATTTTATTTTATTGTTTATTGAACTGCACAGAGAAAAGAGGACTTCACTGTGATTATCCTGAGACCGATGATAGTTTCACACGCCATTGCTGTGCTGTATGCTGTGTTGCAGGAGGGAACTGTGTGTGATAAGCACCCCATAATCCACCTGGTCATTGTCTGTGGTCTGTAGAAGCGACGGTAGTGTGGAGCTGCATATCATTCAGTGTGACCCGTCACAGGACATGAAGTGTTTTACCTGCGGCATCTTTATTGATCTTCAATTCATGTATAATTATAACAGTTAGTCTACGCATTTTAATATTTTGATCTATTCGCCACACAGCTACTGAAGAAAGCAAACACGCCGAAATGTTTAGATGTAGTTTTTTCATATTTATGATATTTAACAATAACTTCTACTTGTTTTTCATACAATTATATGGTCAGCTTGTAAGGAGATACTAATGATATTTACATGGTGAGATATGAACATTTAATTCTACTGTTTATTATGTGTAGATGACTTTTTTTTTAAATGATGCATCATTTCATAGGTATGTGATGCCATTCTGAGGCATGCCAAGAGAGTTCTCTTTCACCAAACACCTCCTCAGTGCCACTCTGCTGCAAAGAGACTTGTTCCCCCAACACAGTGTAAAGTTCCCGGATTCAGCGCTGGAAACCACTTGTGGAAGCCTACCCCACACTGGACAAGGCCAAACTGAAGACAGAATTGTCCCTGGTCTATGAAAATGAAGAGTTCAAGGCTTGCAGTGGTGCACTGGCTCTCTTCCAGGTTTTCATGGAAAACAAGTTCCAGGACACATTCAGCGAGACTGTAAGTCTTCCTAAGATTCTCATCTCCACACCGATGACTACAGCAGAATCAGAGAGGTGCTTCTCTACTTTAAAGAGGATAAAAACATTCCTTAGGAACACCATGGCACAAGACCGCCTGAACGCACTGGCTATGCTCTCCATGGAGAAAAACCTGATACAGAACATTCCTGACTTTAACACCAAAGTCATTGAGAAGTTTGCTACTCAGAAAGACAGAAGAGCAAAGTTCATGTACGAATAAGAGCACTCACTCACTCACTCACTCTCTCACTCTCAAACTCACTCACTCACTCACACATACACTCACTCACACTCACACACACACTCACACATACACTCACACACACACTCACTCACTCACAAATACACTCACTCACACACACATACACTCAATGGTATCTTTTGGTTTGGGTTCTTTTATTGGGATAGTTACCGAAAGCTTCTGGCACATACAGCCCCACCTAGAATATTTTTCACCAGCCGCCACTGCACCTACTTATCCACTAGATGGCAGAATATCATCTTTTAAGCCCTCTGACAGCCTCACCTCTACATGAACCACACACAGACGCACACACACACGCACAAAATCGTGGGGTGAATCAATGGTGAGCCTCTTTTGTTGACCTGCAGGCGTGGCCTCAGTGACACTAGTAGAAGGGCGGAACTATAGCCCCCCTCAGTTTACTTTAAAGCCTTGTGGGTTGATAAAGATGCCAAGCACAAGTCAGGAACTTCACTTCAGAGTAGTTCTCCTTCCTTCAGCAGGCCTGTGCAGCCGCAGACAGCATGTCAAACTCGGACAGGGTTGTGTTAGCTCTGGGAGGAGCAGGCACAGTGGGCTCTGGGATAGTTAAAGCACTGCTGGATAAAGGTAAGCTGCTCAGGCGCCACTTAGAGAGGAAAACCTTCTCTAAGAGGACCTTTAGACAAACTATAATCTGTGAATCAGTGGAAGATTGTACAGTTTCTATGTTAACTCAGATTTTCAAATTAATTTGGAGACTGTCATTTTCAGACTTTGAATTGTTAAATGACTGTGGCTAATTATCTGATGTTGATGATGTCTGTGTGTGTAAATTTAGTTTAAACAGAATTTCTTTTTAGAGTTTATCTCGCATGAACTTCACTGACATGATTTGGACGTACAATGTGCCAACTGGTGTCCTGTGTCCCAGGTCAAAAACTACCTTGAACGCATCAAAAGTGTTTTTAGCTGCAACACATTTCTATGCTATTATTGCATGCATGAAATTATCAATCAACAAACAAAATATTGTAATAGATGTATTATTACAAAGATATTCTAGGGTAAAGGACTGCTCGGACCAGGAGAAGTTCAGTTTAAGTCTAAATGCAGATCCTGAAGTTTGCAAACATTAAAATATATTTCATAATAAAGTGAAAGGTCAAATACATAAAGATATGTAGGGTCCATCTAGAATTTCCAACAGGACATTTGAGTCATATGAACACTGAAATAGAAAAATTGAGAACAATGAAGGTTAAGAAGTTATAGGTATTTTATAATGGTACACTTACCTATAAAAATGTAAATATCTGTGTGTTGTGAGTTTATGATGACATCATAGTCAGGATTTTCCTGCTGCTGGTTTGATCAACAGAATCCCTTTAACTCTGACCTGAACTGATCTGAGCTCTGGTGTCAGCCTCTGCTGTACTTCCCTCCATTATTAACAACATTACATCTTAGTAAGAGGTAGTCCTGTGTAAATTTTGTATGTTCTTCATCCCTGTTCAAAGGGCGTCTCAGTCCCTATGCTGAAATTTACTGTAGGTATTTATGGTGCTCTGCAGCCTCGAACCAGTGAAGGAGACAGTGTTAAATGCTGTGATGAGAGATTACTGATTTGCATGTTGATAACTTTGCTGTTTGACCTGGGCAGAAAGTTGCCATCTGCTGCTCTGTCACAGTCATCCCTCTGATGACCCTGATAAACAGATTAGGACAATTTAGGCCTATTACTGAATTTTGATTTTCATGTGAGAGGGATTAGTCCTGTATCTGTGTTAAAGGTGCTGGTTTTATCTGTCTGCACTACAGATTAATGTAGAGTCTGATGTGTGTGTGTGTGTGTGTGTGTGTGTGTGTGTGTGTGTGTGTGTGTGTGTGTGTGTGTGTGTGTGTGTGTGTGTGTGTGTGTGTGCAGGTTTTAAAGTGGCCGTGATCTCCAGGGACAACAGCCGGCTGGAGAGACTCCGATCATTCATCTCTCCCAACACAAAGGATAACCTCACCACTATAGTGGGGAATGTGGGTAAGCTGAGATATACATCATTCATCTAGAAAACTGTCTGTCATCCATCCATCCATCCATCCATCCATCCATCTGTGCAGTCTCTCCTTTTGTTTTCCATCAGGCTGATGAGATGGGCGTGACTACAGATTTCTCCCTGGCTATTTCCATCTATTTGAAGCTCCAGCGCCTGGAGTAAAAAAGTAAAATATTTGTAGTGGAGGACAAGAATACAGTAATTGTAAATAGAAATACTCAAGTAGGGCGGCACGGTGGTGCAGTGGTTAGCGCTGTCGCCTCACAGCAAGAAGGTTCCGGGTTCGAGTCCCGGCTCGGACGCGGGGTCTTTCTGTGTGGAGTTTGCATGTTCTCCCCGTGCTTGTGTGGGTTCTCTCCGGGTACTCCGGCTTCCTCCCACAGTCCAAAGACATGCAAATGGGGACTAGGCTGGTTGATTACTCCAAATTGACCATAGGTATGAATGTGAGAGTGAATGGTTGTTTGTCTCTGTGTGCCCTGCGATGGACTGGCGACCTGTCCAGGGTGTACCCCGCCTCTCGCCCGAAAGGATGCTGGGATAGGCTCCAGCTCCAGCCCCCCCGCGACCCTACTAGAGGATAAGCGGTAGAAAATGGATGGAATACTCAAGTAAAGTACAAGCTACCTGAGTAAAACTCTTTCCACCACTGCGTACTGTATCATGGATACAAGAATCTCCCTACAGGCTGCAATGTGACATTACACAAATACAAATTTGATGGATCCAATGGTAGGGTTGATTTTCCTATTTAGAGCCTTCTAGTAGCAAAACAAGTGTAAGTGAGTCTAAAGCTATGCCATTGGCCCTGTGGAGATGTACTTTGTCACGGAGGTGCTTCAAGCTAATTGCTAACATTAGCATGCCAACATGCTCACAGTGCTAATCCTGACATCTTGATGTTTAACTGATATGATGCTGACCATGTTCTCCATCATGGTTTAGCATGTTAGCATGAAAATATTTGCTAATTAGCGATAAACACAAAGTGCAGCTGAGGCTGATTGGAAGGTTTCACAGGTCAGGCTGACAACACTTTAGTGACATTGTGGGGTCATTAAAGTGAGATAATGTAACTTTTGAAAGAAAAAACCATGAATAAATAAAATACATAAATGAAAAGTTAAATACATAAGCAGTACAACTTCTCTTTGCCTGGCATATGGTATGACCAGTAGCTTATGGTTGCTAACATTAGCTAGTGTTAGCAAGCTTCAGATAGATGTTGTGTTGTATATTAGATAAGAAGATGATGGTTAGGGGGGAAAGGTTGTCATTGTGTCTCCATTTGAAAAGGGCTCATCCTCTGGGAGCATGAATATGCTCCGTATATGTTATTGGTGAGTTTGAGTTACCATGTCATGAACTAAAGTGTATATCAGTGACATTGGTGCTAGATAACAAGTCAGGGGGTCACCAAAATTGTTATGAATCATCCTCCATATTATATTAGGAAAAGATAGCAATATCAGCCTTTAAACCCCGTCTTAGTCCAAACTTAGTCACACATCTCGGTCTAACTTGCTGTTTTGAAAGTCTTTCTTGTCCCGCAGGGGGACAGCCTAATCTGGACTGTAACCTGGAGGCCTTTCCTCTTCTCTCTGTTCCAGGGTCAGAGGAGGGAGCAGAGCAGGCGAAGCAGGCCCTGCTGAAGGCTGTGGGGAAGGTGACTGACATTGTTTCCTCTTTGGGCTTCAGCTGGTGGCAGGGAGGACCCCCACACACCCAGACTCTCAAAGACCTGCACTGGGTAAACACACACACACGCACACACACACACACACACACACACACACACACACACACACACACACTAAAACCAAACAGCGGCTACACCACTACTTGAGACTACCAGTGGTTTTGATTAAATAGTGAATTTTCTTGTTGTAATGGTAGTTCTCCTGTTAAATCATGTCTGAATGTTGCAGAGGCTTTTCCTCCTTTACAAGAATGAAGAAGAAATTCTGGTTCTTCACTGATTATTTTCATATTTCTTCTCCCTTCAACCCTCCAGGTAATTGAGACATTACTTTTTTGCACATTTGTGTCGTGGAAGACCTTCTTCCCCCTGGTAAGGGACGACTCCAACTGTACCTACACCTTCATAACAGGTGAGTCCTGTAGCCATTTATTTCTACTAATAGCACAGCAGCGTCTGTCCAGTACGTGATGTGGTGAAGGGGATGCTCGTCTGTGCATGTCAGAAACTGAATACAAAGGTTCATGCCTAGTCAGAATCTATTACCAGTGTAGCTCAGGCTTTGCTCTAATAATAAGCTGGAAACATCATTTGTAACAGCTGTAATTAAGTGGATGTTACAAATGTCTCGTCACACTGTTGTATATACACATCCAGAAACACTTATTTAGAGATGTGTTTGTTTGTAGTCAGTAAAGAGGGGTGCTTTCATTTGTGTTTTGTGGTCTTTAGTCACTTGAACCATGACTCCGGCACATAGAAGAAAAACGACTCCCAGAGTGTTTATATAGTTTAATGTCCTCTTCTGCTCTGTGCCACAGGAGGAGCAGGAGAAAAGTTGCTGATGCCTGGTACAGGCTTCCTGACAGTGGGAGCTGCCAGCACCCTGGCCTTCTGCCAGGTACTACGAGAGGAGTACCCAGAGGTGCCCTGTAAACTCAACCAGGTGAGACTTTAAATGGATTACACAGCAAGACTTCAGTTAACAAAGCACCAAAGCTGATATAGAATTTCTGCCCCAGACCTGTTCAGCTCAGCACAAAAGAAGACCGTCAGATTTCATTTCAAGTTTAGTTTTTCCCACAGAGCAGCCAGGAACATTTTTAACATGTTTTTTGTTAATTAAACCAGTTATCACTTTGATGTGCTACAAGCTGCATTAGCACTGAAATCCAGCGTCAGGATTTGTTTTCACACATTTTCTCTCTCACTTACTAAACCACTGTTGTTAAATTGGATTAGTAGATCTGGGCTAAATTTGTTCATGTTCAATGTTCTTAACAATCCTGAAGCTCAACAGCCACAAAACAGGTTCCATGTGTTTTTAAAAACTTAACTTTCCTCACTCAGCCACAGTGTGTATCCCTACAAATATGAATTACAGAACAACTCTTCTTTTTTAATGTTGTACAAACCTGAAATATGAAGAACATCACCATCTGTTTTTCCCAGTAAAACTGCAGGACTCCAGGTTTCAAAGCTGTCATGAAGTAGCTTTAGGCAAGGCAAGGGAAATGTATTTGTATAGCACATTATCATACACAGAGTTCATTCAATGTGCTTAAGAGAAATAAAAGAAGCACAAAAAAAGGTAATTCAATGTGCTTAATAGAAATTTAAGAAGCATTAAAATAGAAGTAAAAAGCAGAATCAGGAAACAGGCTAAAAACAGTATAAAAACACAGATTATAAAAGAGAAATTGTGTCATTAAAGTGTAAGATTAAAAGATTAAATGAAGGCAGAGGTGAATAGAACAGTTTTAGCTTCTTTTTAAAGCCAGTTACGTTTGAATCACTCATGTGTTTTGTAAAAGTCAGTTAGATTTAGATTTATTGATACAATATGAGTCGTTAGGGGCCGGAATCATAAGGAATCATGATTCAATTTAATTCTGATTCTTTCAAGTCAATTTAGCATCAATTCACAATTTGAAAACCAATTCTCGATTCAATAGATGGAGAAGGAGGCACTTTTCTCAGGCTCTCACTTCAGTTCACTGTGTGCTGCACTGTGCTCTGAGTTCAGCCTGTTTCCTTCTGTCAGTCTTACTAACGACATACAACAAACCATTTTTTAATCCATGAATCAATTCAGAATCATAGAAGACAAGAAGTGCAATTCTCATGTGAATCCATTTTTTTCACTCATGCATTAGAGAGGTGTCAGTGTGATGTCAGAAATAATCACTGAGTCTGTTTGTGTTGGGCCAAAAACAATCCTCAGAGTCCGTGCATGTTAAATAATTAAAGGGTAGTACATTCTGATCTTTTTATATTCATAGCAATTTTTTCAGTTGTACTCACCAAATGAATTTCATAAATATGGGAGCGTTCTGTGTTGAAGTTTGACAGGGCAGGAAATTTATGTGGAAGAGAAAACAAAGATGGACAATAAAATGATCACATTCACCTTAGTGAACGGACCAACTTCCTGTTTTAACTTTGACATGTCATACCTGCTGTAGTGTTCCTGTTCAGTGAGATGTCAGGTTTGACCTCCAGATGAAGAGCTTTAGATAATCTGGATTAAGTGTTGGTCTGGCTGCTCATGTCCCCTCAGACTTTATTGCAGGGATATCATTGTGTCACTTCAGTGTTATGGTAAGTGTAAACCATAAACCTGAATTACTCTTTAATGTGATCACGGCTGAAACAGTCTCCCTTTATCGGTTGTCCCTGCCAGGTGAAGATCGACACAGGTGTAGCCACTCCAGAGCGTATGGCACCTGGTTACCTGAACCACCTGGACCTGGGTGAAGCTGTTGCCACCCTTGTGGAAAGGCGAAACACCTCCCACACCGTCTTCACTGTCAACTGCCCCGCAGATTTAAAGACTGTCCTTCTGGAGAGGAACCTTTAGACTTGCAAACCCGTCCTCCAGCCCTGCCTTGATGTCCCGGGGACACATTTACACTTCTGCTCCTGCTCTTGCTGAACTCTCCACAAACACATTTACAGTGTCCATTTGTTTCCCTCTCCCACGACCCTGAACCATGTCCTTGCACAAGTGTATGTGAATTGTATACTGTTTCAACTAATACTGTATATTCTGCTGCCTGTTCCTAGATCCTTAGCAACTGTTTTCTCTGCATGTGCTGTTGTGTGATGTTTGTAAAAAAAAAAAAAGAAAGGATTTATAATACCGACATTCTCCCTGTTTCCTGCTTCTTTACAAATATCATCACACAGTTCTGTTCTTTACATTAGCACAGTATTTCTGTATGTGATCTGCTAAATATATTTGGTGTAAAACTAGATGTCTAAAGGCCAAACCGTAGGTGAGAGCAGGTGAGGATCTGGAGGAGAGATTTTGTTAGCCGAGCTCCCCACTGCCTTTTCAGCAACTCGTCAAAACAGCAGAGGGTGTTTGGTTGTAGATTATCTGATCGTTTGTGTCCACAAACCTGGATTTAAAGGTAACCTGTGGCGCCGTGGATGCCCGTGTTGTTCTGTATTAGCATGCGCAAGAGGACGCACATGTTCACACATGTACAGCAATGACCATTCTTTATGCTATTGCACTGACTAACAGGTGGCAGTATAGCAATGCACATTAAAAAAGCAACAATAACGACTGCAAACTAGCATACATGTAAATAATGCAGGATTTTAGGACATAAAGACAATAAGTGCAACATGTTTGAAGACTGTTCAGTCAGACATTCATGGGACTGCACTTGTTTGTGCATGTAAAATGAGAAGAAGAGATCTTTAGAGAAAAGTTCTAATCAGATATACCTTTGTCAAACCAGCATACTAATATATTCACTTAGACAATCTGACCTTAGTTTGGTTGCTAAGGTCTTGTGTGTAAGTGATTCCTTAAGACCAAGATAAGGAGAAAAGCTTAAATACTTCCGTGAACATTTTAAGGGAAACTTCAGACTTCAGCGAGTTTGTGCAACAGTTTTTATTTGAAGGAAATCTAAAGTTGAACTTTACGGAAAATCTTAACTTAAGATGCTTTCGTGCACACTCGAAATTAAAAAGTTCATACAACAAGTCAAAGTAGTCGAGTGTGAAGAATTAAAAAAGAACTCAAATTCCACAAACTCTCTCACCTCCACACCCGACCAATCGCTGCATAAAGAGGTTGTGATTGTAAAATTGTAGGTTTTAGAAAGCTATAAGACGATCCAAACTTCACTCGAAGCATACTGACCTCTTATGGATGGACACTATGGCTCTGAATAGTGAGTCTCCAACATGGCATGATAAGCACATGTCAGAACCTGCCTGATTATAGACACAAAGGTTACACAGCATGGTCTGGCCCATTCAGCCTGTTAAGCTAAAATAAATAAAAATGAAGTTTAAATATGCCGTGTTCTACATTCAAATACCAATAATAAACTAGATGTTCTACCACATCACTAATCCTGTGTGTTCTCTGGAGTATTTTCCTGAACGTTTGTCTTTGTAGTTGTTAACGTTGAGGTTAATTGTCTCTATGGAAACAAATTAACGCAGATAAAGGTCAATCTTTGGTGCGGGTGGGGTTTGACATTATCATCCCCATAGCGTGACTCTGTGTCCCGGTCACAAGCACCAGCACCGACCCCCTATATGCCTCTTTGTCTGTTGCCCATTATTTGAGGCAGCATGGCCCTTAGATAAACTAAACAGAAGTTTGGAGGCCACAGTGGACTGCAGTATCAGAGGGGGTATTGTTGTTTTGTGTAGTGTCTTGTTGTGTACTGTCTCATTGTTGTTATGTGTACTGTACTGTTGATGCGTGCATGCTTTCACAACAAGAATGTAGACTTGTCGTGCCAATAAAGTTGCCTGCACTGACTGATTTGGGCTTCCCTTGGTTGACAAGAATAACCGGGATTGGACAAGAAAGCAGAGTGGGGAGAGCGAGAGTCGTAGTAGTTTTGTTGGGGGGTTGGGGGAAATCAGTCATAGTTTTTGTTTTGAACTTGTCGGCTGACAGCTCAATTAGGCCAAATTATGATTAAACCACAAGGGAGAACCAACTGGGCCCCACTTTCTCTTTCTCTTCATCTCCTCCTCCCTCCCTCTCTCTCCCCGCCTGAAAAGGACAGAAACAGTCAAACACGCCCACACAAACGGCCATGTTCACCCTCTGATGATGAGTCATCTCATTCTAATAAGAAAAGAAAACTGGCTTTTGTTTAAAAGGGAACGAGGGGTCGCTGTCTTCTAAAGAAGGCTCAACAGACTGAGGACTGGTCGGAGAGGAAACGCTGGTCAACAGGTTCAATGAATGAGAGAAAATTGGGTGAAATATTGGCTTTGATGTTGGAACAGGAGGACACTGTTTGGCACAAGAAAAATGTGTGATTGTGAATTTTTTAGCCACATTAACAGCATGGCTGTAGAGGTGGCAATATCAGTTGGTCTGTCTGTCCACTACAACAGAGTATTAAGGCCACATAGAGGAAAAAAAAGAAATCTGAAATTTCAAGAATAAAGTCATAATATTACAAGAATTAAAAATGTAAAATTTCAGGGGAAAAAAACCCACAATTTTTTTAGGAATATTACAAAAACCAGTCAAACGGGTGAAAGGACAGACAGTGTCAGCCTGAGCTGCTTCTGGCAGCTGCTGTTTGTTTGTACAATAGTATCAGTTTCTTCACAATCTTTTTAATGTCCTGATGATGATGATGATGATGATGATGATGATGATGATGATGATGATGATGAGGATGATGATGAGCCCAAAGAAGAAGTTTCTCCTTATTTGTGAAACCTAAAGTAGAACATCACAGGATGCTTCATGTTCCTCAGTTTAAAGCTTCTGATATTTCCGCTCTAAAACAACACACAACCTAAAATTATCACTTTATTCTCATTATATTAGGACTTTTTTTCTTGAAATTTAAGATTTTTTTCCCCTCAATCTGGCCCTAATATTCCGTCGTAGTTCGCCACTTTGGTCCACATTGAAATATCTCAACAAGTGCATGAACTTTGTTGATCCATGACATTTCTTCTAGCGCCACGATGAGGTTGACATTTTTGCTTTATAATGAAATGTTTCAATGATTTGTCATAAAAATTTGTTTCAGATATCCAGGGATAAATCACAGTGACTTTCCTGTAGCATTGACAGCAAGTTCATGTATCCAGTGAAACATCTCTAGATGGATTGACACAAAATTTGGTGCCAACATTCATGGTTGCCTGAGGATGTATCATACTGATCGTGGTGATCCCCTGACTGTTCCTCTAGCGTCACCATGAGGTTGATATTTATGATTTTGAATAAAATGTCTCGACAACTATTGATGATGCCTTCAGGATCAAGTGTCATCACTTTAATGACTTTTTTTCTACCACCATCACCAGTTCAAAATTGAAGTTGCCCAGTACTTTGGTTTATGACCAAAGAGCTGCAAAACTAAAGGCATGCCCATCAGCCTCAGCTTCACTCTGCGGACTTAATCATTAGCATGCTCTTCCACAACATTGAGATGGTGAATGTGGTAACTATTAACATCAGCATGTTAGCATGGTGCTAATGTTTAGCTGAAAACACAGCTGTGCCTACAGCGTCACAGGGCATGTAGATAAGATGAGAAGATGCATTTGAAGGTTCAGTCTACAAGTCTAGGACCAAAAAAAGACAAACTGCTCACTTAACGTCATCGTGAAACCACCAGGAGACTACAATTCTTCTTGGACGATGATCAGTAAGCCTAGGGTAATTAGGGTAATTGCACAAACTTAGCTCAAAGTGAATACACATATTTTGATAAAGTGATTAAATACTATGTTGATGAAAAGGGATGGAGACATCTGTTGACATCTGCCCTGTACCTGATGATAGAACAGATTACAGTCAGAACACGGAGACAACGGCAATGAGGGTAGAAGAACAGTGCAATAGTTGACAGACTGATGCCAAATTACTCCTCTGCTTTTGATTAAGAACTGGAGCGGCTGAGATGAGAGGGATTCAAATTTTGAGCCAGATGGAAAAACAAGCCATGGGCTTGGTGCTTTGCCTTTCCGTGAGAGAGCAGCGAGAACTCACCAAAGCAGCAGTGAAGTTTTCAGCTTCTGAAAAACGAATACACCACCACTATTGCCAGGCAACACCACAAAGATGCAGTCTGACAAGCTGACAGACAGTAGGTTCATCAGAGAGGCCAGGCAGCTATGACGGCAAGAGACTGCAATTGTGTGTATGCGTGCGTGCGTGCGTGTGTGTGTGTGTGTGTGGTCCCTAGTGAGATATCTTCTTTCCCTGGCCTGGTGTGTCACTAGGGGTCATGGCATTGTGAGAAAAACTGACAGAAGGATGATCGGCCCATAAATACTGCATCCACTTAATAACAGCTGCCTTCATGCTTGTTGCTATGGAAACAATTAATAAAGGCTTAAACACTCCAGAGGCTTGTGTCATATCAGCAGCCAGCTCTGAGGTCAGGGAAGCTCAGAGTCACGCTATCTCCGACAGGGTGTGTCCCATCCATCACACCAGAAGGACACACGATCACTGACACTGCAGCAAAACACACTTGTAAACACAGACATGTGCCAGCATGTCACACAGAGTAACTCAATTACAAGCTAATTGGTTCAAAATGTGGTTTTGTGGGGCGGTTTAAGGCCAAAGTGTGACAACAGGGTGGGAGAACAGTTTACCACAGCAGCCATGTTTAGAGCATTCGTTCTTCTTACCATGATGCACATTTCTAACAGGCCAGATAATTTTGTTCCCTCTCCTGTAAGTGCACATTTTGAGTTGTCAGTGATATTTATGTTGGGTGTTAACATGGAGTTAAAGTCATTGAAATGCTCCAAAACAGACAAAAAAAACAGCAGGTAGACAGTGCACATGCATGTGATCCTGTGCATACTACACTGTGTTGCAGTGTCTCCTGAAAGTAGAAAGCAGGCAAGCTGTAATCATTATTACAGCTGGTACATTTTAAATATATAAGACTTTATGTGTGGGATCTTTACTACAGTACATGTGAAATTCTTAGAGTCTCATTTTGTTATGAAGCTGACCTCTGCGGTTGGATTCTTCCTCATTTTAGACAAAGATGTGTTTATGAATTGTTCTCTGACTTTTCCAGTAAATTGTACATTCATGCTTCACACTCAACATGTAATGGATTCAATCATCTAATTGATATTCTGAAACTTCCTGGTTGAAGACTGATCTTGAAAACTATGGAAACTGAGAAAGGCCATACAGACCATATTTTTTTATCACAATCACATTGACGAATATGAATATGAATATGAATATGAAGACTGCATAGGGTAAATAAACAGAAAGACTGCTAAGCTTCAAAGTGATTGTTCTTTAATCATAATCATAAAAGTCAGCAGACAATTAGCTTGGATTAGCTTTAAGGTTACAAATGGGGAAACAGCTAGCCTGGCTCCAAAAGGAGAAAATAAGCCAATCAACTGCTCTCACTAATTAACACTTAAAATGTCATTTGTTTAATTTGTACAAAAATTGAATGGTGACGACTGGCAAACAAACAAGGTTCAGTATAATGTGTTAATTAGTGAGCTTTAGACAAATCCCGTTTGAAGTGAGCCAGGCTAGCTGTTTTCCCCTGCTTCCAGATATAATGCTATGCTAACTGTCTCTGGCTTTAGCTTCATTAGCATACTGATGCTAGTGTATCAAGGAATGTTAAAACGTTTAACTATTTCTTTAACCTTTAACCACTGTAACTGCTGTTTCACCTGCTGGATATTAGCACTACGTAGAACATTAACAGACATACGATGTGAGGTTATGTTAGGGATCAAAATTTAAGGCTAAATACTGTATGTAACCATGATGGTTTAAGATAGCTGTTACTACATGTGCAGCTAAAAGTGAAACTGCACTGTTGCACGGTATGTTGTCTATTGAAACCTGAATCAGGAGGCAATGGTTGGTATACTTGTTGGTATGTGGTTAACAGGGTAAGTGGAGAGAAAGAGTGAGGGGAAAGCGAGCACGAGGAGGGTGACATGCTGAGTGGTGCAGTGGTGGCTGCTGGTGGAGTTCTGACTGATTCAAAGTGGCATGTTGTTTTTTCTTCAAGTTCTCAGGCCTCTGCTGCTATTCAGCCATGTGCCCATCACAACCTCCTGCATCACCCAGGCATCATCCCCACACAGACACCCTAACCACTGACAGCCGCAGAGGAAAAACAAAGAAAAACATGTCACATCAGGGTGTCATGAGGCAGGGACCGTGTTTCCCTTTCTTTCTTTGTGATTCTTTGTCTCTGCTGTAGATTTAGTGGAAAAGTCCCACATTGATTCTTTTCTCTCTCTGTATGATTGTAAACAAGTTCATTTTCTGTCTGTTCCTCCTGAGGGTGTCTGAAGCTGTTGGCTTTGTTCCTTAGTAGGTATCAAAGTAAAGAATGTAAATCTTTTGTTATTTAAAAAGAGACCCACACATCTATTTATATAATAAATAATGCCATCTCATCTTGTTAAATGTTACTCTGGATGTGTTGGATGTGATTGGTTGTCGGTAACCAGCTCTTTGAGACAAGGGATTCAGGCTTTAGCAGGGCCCGGTGGCTCAAAGAGAACTCAAGCATGTTGAACTCCATCATCCAGGCCCCAGGCTGAATCAGATGTCAAGTCAGACGATCACATCGAATGATTCGAACATTTTTCTGTTCTCTTTATTGACTCATCTCTCAAACACACACTTCAAGATCTCACATTCCCACATCTTACATTCCCAAGCTTTCACAGTAAATAAGTTTAATAATGAAATAACATTCATATAATTACAAATTGTACAATAAATCATTTACATGAATATAGTGGCTTGATCCACTTTGCAAAATATCACAGCATCCTCCCATTTTTATTAGAATTACATAAACATTTATTACATAGACATAGATAAATCTGTTTTTGGTGTTAATGTTGTAAAATACGTAAGTAATATTAACAAATCCAAAACAGTTCAGACACTTCACATCTTTTGGACTCATACAAAATAAAAAAAAATTAAATAGTAAATTCAAGCAAGCAAACAAAATAAAATGACAATTCATAAAGCTACAGTTTTTCAGTCTAAGTTAACTAAGAACCAATATTGGAGGCAAGTCTGTGAAAGATGTGTCTACAAAACACAAACCAAACAATGTTTTTGCATATTTTAGCCCCTTTAGCCCATAATGTCATAATCACTGCCATCCATCTGTATTGATCATGATCATAACCCCTTTGGTCTACAGACACATTATTATTGTTAACTTGCAGCAAGTCTCAGATGTCAGAGTTTAATACAAGCACATAAATGCACCACCACAGTTTATAACTGATTTGTAAGTCTTGGTAAAATGAATGGAAACTAATGGCTGCCTGGAAGGGCTGAATGCACACTAAAGACTTAAAAGAAAAAAAAAACAAACAAACAAAAAAAACAAAAACATCACCCTTCAGAGAATGGTCACCACAGTTAAGATGATTTGCAGATTAAAAAAAATGCAATAACACGAGACCCTTTCAGTTTAACACTCACTCTGGTGTCTGCACGTATTTAAAACCAGACAGCTTGAAGGACTCAAAGAAAAAAGAAAAAAATTAACTCTTTCCATTTATCAACATAAAACGATCCCTTTAATACCATCCGTCTAATATGTCCACAACTGCTCAAGATCTACCAGTGGATAATTCATCTCCACATATACAAGTTGTTTTTTCTGTTCTCATCCTGTGATTGTGTCTCTGCAGACATTAAAGAACGCATTGGAAAATAGGCTGTGAAAACAAGTTTAGCTTTTAGCTTTTAGCTTTCACCTTTAAACATACAAGAAAGGAAAAACAAATTCCTTCACTGTTGTATACTGAAAACAACATCATAAATCCAAATGGCCAGATGATGGTCACATGTGCCTGCAGAAACTGTGGCTTGGCTTAGAACCTGTCGTACAGGCAACACACACACACACACACACACACACACACACACACACACACACACACACACACACACACACACAAAGTGGAGCAAGCTAACAAAGTGCAACAGTATTACTACCTAACCATATTCCTGTGTACCCAACTTAGATGTTAAAAACATGCTGTTACATGCAAACACAGTGCTGTCAACAGATGCTACAAACAGGAGCAGTTATCCCTGTGCTCCTCCAGTGGCTCATTGTCCTCCTTACATGGCATCTCTGACCATCACTCTCTGTCCCACTGACAAGTCTGTTGACAAATAGATCTACTGTCTGAGCTCTAAAACCAGCATCCAGTGTAGGCTGACCCCTGAGCACCTCAACACCCAAAGTGCATAGATATATACTTGAAATTCTGTGGATGAAATAAGCCACCAGTCTTAAAAACACATGAACAAACACATGCACACAAAAAATAAAGAAACAGCCACAAGTTACATGGATTAAAGCATTTTTGATGCAGCATCAGTCGGAGACATTCTTGTCTTACAAAAGACTTCCTAAAACAACGCCCCAGTTGGAAAGTATTTCTCTGGTGGTCTGATTTTAGTATTACCTGCCCTGGTCAGTGATTTTGATGGCATGGAGTGTTTCATTTTTCATCCCACGCCAATAATAATTACAGCCACATTTACCTACTGTCCTCCTGTAGTTGAACTCCAGAGTGACATACTTTTAAATTGGACCTTGTTTTTCTGTGGGAAGATTTTCTTCTCTTCTCCTGCTTCCTCCCAGCTCAGTGTGAAATTCAGCTTTTGTGTGAAAATAGAGGAGGCTGAAAATGTTTTTTCCAATCTGACAGAAACAAGTTGATACCGACACACAGGCCTATTAGGGAACCACAATGAAAAGGAAAATCAGTTAAAGCCATCAGGCCATTCATCAAATGGGCTGTTGTAATGTCTCCTACAGGTAAGTACCAGTATCCTTATTTGGCCGGTGCAACCTGCTGTCACTGATATTATATCCTATGCCCCTAGTATTTAACATAACGACCTCACATACAGTCCCATGTACTGGGAGACAAACTTCAGGTAAAAGTACAAACACCAGATTAGAGCTACACTCCAAGTCCTAAATGTGAATGGTTACACCACTGTCCTGTAGAATGTCCAACTCTGTCACAGACCACATAAAGTTTGAACTCCTGTCCAGAACAATGAGTTAAATGAACAGGGACCACAGGGAATATCTTACCCCCCCCATCTCCCTCGTAATATTAATCCCATCCAACTGGGGCTTTAGCACATTTAGTTGACTGATTCACACTCTCGACACAACTTCAGTAGTGTGTTTTTTTTTTTTTTTACCTCAGTTCCCACACATCTGACCTCTTTCCTGAATGAAGGAATACATTTGTAAACCATTTTTCCTTTGTAAGCAGTCATACAGTCAGTGGCATCAGTTCCTAAGGTTCCCTAAGACATGTCCAATCTTAACCAAATACAGTAATCCCTTTAAACCATCCAGTGCCAGAGTCTGGTTTCGTCCTCTCTTGTCAACCGAGCATTGCGTTTGTACAAGATTATAATGCATCTGCACAACTTGCAGGGAGCTGCAGGTTTAGCTGTTGCCTCTGTGGAGCCCAGCAGGGAATGTGGGATGAACAGGGAGGGAGGGTTGGCAGCAGCCTACAACACAAAAATGACAGACTTATTGTGCTGGCAATGTCTTAAAAAGGTAAAACAGACAGGGTTCAGTTAGTTGCATTCGGCCTTTTGTTGAAGTCTGAGGCTGTGAAAAAGACCCAGACTAACAATGTGCTATTCAGTGTCTGACTCTTGTCTGCTCGCCCTGCTTGTCACATATATGTGTAGTTTTTTAAAAAGGGCTCAGTGCTTTCCTAAAACTGCCGGTCAACATCACTCTAACAGGAGGAAATACTGTATTTGTTTGGGACTATTTTCAGCTGTGGATTGATCCACATTTGGTGCTGCAGTGGGTAGCTCCAGGAGCATGACATCCACCTTCACCTGCCTAATATCATTCCCCTTGTGCCCCCAAAACAGCTCTGACCCGTTGAGGCAGGAACTCCACTAGACCTCTGAAGGTGTCCTGCGGTGTCAGGCAGCAAGACGTTAGCATCAGATCCTGTATTGTGATGCCGTTTTTATACCAAAATGAGTATGTAAAAGCAGGTTTCTTTAAGTTATAATGTGCAACTTTTCCACCTTAAAATGTCTAAAAATGACTAGACCTATGTTTTGTTTTGTTGAGTTGTGTTCTTACATTAACCCAAATGTTTCCTGCAAATTCTCAAACCAGAAAAATCTGTGATCATGGCAACTTTTATCTAGTTTTAAGCCACATACACTTTTTCCACCTTGGTGGTTTTCAGCTCTATATTTGAAGCAGATGAAGGATTTTAGTCGACGGACGTCTGGATCTGAAGTTATCAGAGAAACAAGCTGATTTTTAAAGTGAAGCTGCTTTCTGGGTGTTTCTACTGGTTTGAATCCCCTGGTGTGTTTGTTGTGGAGAGGAGGACACCTCTGTGGATGATTCAGCTGCTGGTAAAAACCTGCTGAACGTCTGCTTCATAAGTTATCAGAGAAACAATCAGAACAAAGGTTAGCATCAATCTCAGCTCCAGCTCTTCCCTGAGTCTCTGTCCTCCGTACAGCGTCGCTCAAACACTGACTTTAAATGTCAAACTGCTTCATTCAGTGTTTTTAATGGTTAGAATCACCAGGTCTGTTTGATTTCCTGACCCACTGACACTGAAGGAATCCAAACAGGGAAGAGCCTATGGTAATAGAACTCCCATGATCCTACACTATTTCATGACATCACCCAATGTCGCCTTTTGTTACTGTTTTGATTGAGAGACCCCTAGAGGCAGAACTTACAGACTGTGCATTTAAATGTGGGTAAAACCGCAAAAAAAGGCATTTGACTCCTTTCACACTGCCAGACGGGTGTGTCTTTCTGTTCGGACTAAGAGGAGAGACACATCACTCCAGGGAGCATGAGCACACACACGTGCGCGCACACACGCACGCTGTATATTATTGTATTATATACTTGCAAGTACGATCATTCTTCACAGGCAACTGACAATAAATACAGAAATTCCAGGCTTGTCTTTTAAAAACGACAGTGTTGCTGGTAACAACGCCGCTGTCTTTAACATGAACGTGCTCGGAGCTGGAGTTAACTGAGTCGGTTGATAACTAGCTTTGTGATAAGGTTATCCAGATTGGCTGGTGTTAGGTTTACTGAAGCCAGATAACAAAAAGATATTCTGGGTTTGTTGAACTTGCTTTGTGGGACAGGCCTCCAGTTACTAAATAAGAATGAACAGAATCTAAATTAGGGCTCGTTTTTGACCCTGGATTTCTAAAGCTTTTGCTAGAAGCAACTGCAAATGACTGCTATTAATATTATTATTATTATTATTATTATTATTATTATGCGCTTTATTGGGTATGAATGTGATAAAATCTGTTGCATAAGAGAAGATGTGTAAAGTCATAATGTGAGAACTGTATATATATATTATATAAACCAGACATTTAATACCTAATCTGTTCCTCCAGTATTAAATACTAAACTCTAAATGCTCCCACAGCTCAACCCAGCAACCCAGCAGATAAGCGACAGCTCTGTGGTGCACAGCGGTCTGCAAAGTTAAATATTTGGCAGTTGTGGAATCATTGTGTCACTGGGAGTTTTGGGGAGTGCCGGTTGAGGATGTCACATTTTATATTGTGCAGTGTCATCACGCCCCGTCCTGCCGAGTAGCAGTGTGGAAACATCACCTTGGGCACCCGACAAGACATTCAGCAACACACTCACCCTTCAGTGTAATGCATCAGTCTGAGTCCGCTTCATCCAACCCTCCCCCCACCCCTCCATCTCTCCTCATAACTGCTGGCAAAACTGCCAGTGGCCTCTGCTTCACAGTTCAGTCTGTCCCAAAGATCAGATCCACCGAACACTGAGGAGACTGAGACACGGGTCATCAGGTCAGAGGAGCCGACCAGTCTAAACCAAGAGTGTGTTTATTTACTCGCCTCCACAGGTTTGGTTTTATCTTTGGGAGGACATTTTTTGTCGGGTGCCAAATTAAATAGATGTGTATGTGTCTGTTTTCTCCTCATTATGCACATTTGTATACAATAGGGATGTCACAAGAACTGATACTTCAAAATCAGGTCAATGCCAAAATTCTGAAAATGTGACAGTACTTGTTCTTCTGCAGTACAGTAGGTATCGAAGGTGCTGTAGATGTCGTCGGTACTGGAGATGTGATTTTTCCAGCACTGACGAGAGCAGTATAATAACACTGCAAGTGTTCTAGTCTGACATCAAACTCTGAGAGAAGGAGGCAGGTACAGTAAACTATAACAACAACAACACGTGGAATGACAGGAGCAAGTAAAGGTGCAGCAACAGGTCAGCAAAAAAAAAAAAAATACACACCATCACTGGTGTATGGAGATATTTTGTATTTGACGAAGATCATCAGGTACAAGTTGTAGACAATGAAAAGCCAGCGAAGAAACGATGCCACAGGAGGAAACGCCTCAAACTTCTGTGAGCAGCTCAGAGACAGACATCAGATCTGTTCACTGAGTTCAGGCTGAGAGAGTTTCAGTTGTTCTCTTCACATCAACATGTCGTCAACACGTTCATGTCCTGAAACGTTACCGTTGTTGTTTGTGAACTGTGACAGCTGACATCGCTTGTAACGACACTCCACCCACAACGTGGGCTAACGTTAGCTTGTTTAGGCTAACGTAGCGACGGTTTATAACACAAGCTTGGTGCTCAGAACATTAGCAGCTACAGCCATCACTGTTCAGTCTGTTTAAATGAAACACTGACTTTTAAATGAATGTTCTCACACCATGGGTCTGTCACCATGTTAGTCAGTTTAAACTGCTGCATGCACACTGGCTACATCAAGGTGTGTGTGCGTGTGTGCGTGCATACACACGTGCATACATACATACATACGTACGTACATGCATGTGTGTTATCGCACTGTGTGTGCACCATCCTCTGCTGTTTCGAATTTGGTATTGACAATCGTGGTATTTCACTGGTCTTGTTACCGACTAGTATACACATCTCTCTGCAAAAAATTTAGTTTATAAAATATGTGTTTGTGATTGTAATATAACTCGCCTGAAACGAGACTTGTATCATGATCTTTCTCTGATTTTAAACTAATATTTCACATTTTTTTAACTCGATATAAATCTGATAAAGACGTCTGAGCAATGATCCCAAGCCAAAAACACCTAATCCCTGAAATATATAATATAGGGCCTGATGTAATAATAATATAATATCACTGTTTTCAATGCTGTGATCTTTGAAACATTTAAACTATAAATATTTACTATTTCAGATTCACCACTGCTCATCAGCTACTCCACTGCTGTCGGGTTGCAGCTGGTCAATTATTCATGACACAGTTTGAAGTTGAGGGTTGCCAGATCATATTCAAGGATCCCCCATACACCAATATTCTGCTCTTTATCATATTAACCAACATTTCGTAGAAAACAACATCACATCACAGCAGCCAGCCTCTGCTGGTCATGGGCTTGTGTTTCGTTGGTTGATGTTTTCTGGACAAAACTAACATCAGTTGATATTACATTTATATTTCAGGGATTAGGTGTTTTCATCTTGGGATCATTGCACAGACATGTCGTTTTATTAAACACCTTTATCACTGTAGGCAAAAATGCTTACCCAAGCGAGTTGAGACATCAGGTCCATTTTAAATATGTGCTGTTAAAGTCTCCCTCTCCCTTTCCATGAGTGGATCATGAACAGTTGTTATGACATGAGTCATTAAGACATGGACATTATTTCCCCTCACTGAGCATTTTATTAGGAACACCTGTACACCTGCTTATTGATGCAATTATCCAATCAGCCAATCATGTGGCAGCAGTGCAGTGCATACAATCCTGCAGATAAAGGTCAGGAACTTCAGTTCATGTTCACATCAAACATCAGAAACAGGGAAAAAATGTGACTCAGTGACTTTGAATGTGGCGTGAATGTTGGTGTCAGACGGGCTGGTTCAAGTATTTCTGAAACTGCTGATCTACTGGGATTTTAACACACAACAGTCTCTAAAGTTTTTACTCAGAATGGTTTGAATCACTGAATCACTTAATCCTTCCATGGAAAGTACAGAAAGTCTTAAAGCTGCAATAATAGATTTTTTTGGCAGCTTGGAGGCAAGTGAGCAACGCTAAAACAACATCTGATGGAGCTGTTATGGCAAAATGACTCCAGACAAAAAGAACATTTGGAGTCGTCTTAAGTGCTGTTCATTGAGATATTAAGTTATTAATGCAACAGGACTGTATATAACACTCAATTTGTTTTTATGCTGTTACATTCTTTCCCCCCTGCTGGTGATATGCCAAATGTGTCATGATTTGTATGTTTCCTTTTACTCAGGTGAACCTGGTCTGGGCTGATTGGTGGGAGGAACTCTATAAAGCGTCGGCAGTTATCCCAGCTCAGACTCTCTCTCTCTGCCAGCCACTGCTGCGGTAGCTAGGTCCAGGGCTTTGTTTTCATGTTTTTTTTTTTGCTTTGACTGATGGGTCCGGTAGTCCTATTTTCATGGTGTTATTTCTGTTAGGTTAGAGCTGTTGTTTTGTTTTTAACGTTAGAGGGAAGACACCAGATCCTATGACCCTTTGTGGGATGGTCTGGTGGCTTTCTTTCTTTTGCTGTTGTTGTTGTGTTGTGTTGGTGATTATGATCATTCTATCCTATTTGTTTGGGAAAATAAATGGTGTCTTTTTCATTGCAACAGTCTGGCTCTGTTGGTTATGTTAGGACTTCATTTTTGGTTAAAAACCTTATGGGGTCGTGACATATGCCTCCATAAAAGAAGAAGAGGTTTTGAGGGCTGGGATGACGCATGCATTTTATATGGGCACATCATTTTTGATAACCACCAATATTTTTAACTTTTTTTTTCAGAGATTTAATCGCTGACATCAAACACTGCAATATTCTTTTCATGAAACTTTCCCAACATATGCTCTCAGCTGTCTTTAAACAAAGGCCAAAGCATGTTTATTAGTATGTTCAGAATGGAATTTACCTTTTTCATATGAGCTTGTCCGCAGGAAGGTAAGCTCCTCCGGTGTGCAGTGACTCAATATAGGCCAAGGCACTCTGCATGGAGGTCAGACAGTAGCCCTCCTCTCCTATCAAATAGCTGAAACAGAGGAGTGAGTGTTAGCTGATAACAAGAGACAACAGAACATTATATCATATGTACAGTAATGTATATTAATGTAATCCATACTCCCTCTGTGACATGATTTTTTTCCCCCTCTGGTTCATTTCAGAACTTTTTTTTTTTCTAAAGGACCAGTGTGTAGGATTTAGTGGTATCTAGCAGTGAAGTTACAGACTACAATCAACTGATTACCCCTCCCCTCACCCCTGCCTTCCCAAGTGTGCAGTACAACTTACAGTGGCCTTCAGGTACTGTAAAAATGTGAAAGGTCCCCTTAGAGCCAGTGTTTGGTTTGTCCATTCTGGGCTACTGTAGAAATATTGCAGTGCAACATGGTGGGCTCCATAGAAGAGGACCCACTCCCTATGTAGATATGAAGGGCTCATTCTGAGCTAATGAAAACATTTCAACTCTTAGTTTCAGGTGATATCACACTGATAAAAACATATTTATGAAATGATTTTCCATTTCCGCCAATAGATCATCCTAAATCCCACGCACTGGTCCTTTAAGATGATTTTTTTGATTTATATTTTTTTAGTTAGGTCAAGTAGGTAAAGGGTAAACGACCCTGGGTTAGGAAGTCCTCTTTTGGTTGTGCTTATTTCTTTGTTGAGTAGTACCTGTTGGCCCTTTGTTCTCCTTAGAAGCCTCTGTTAATATTTATCTGAAACATTCAATCATCACAATAAATAACTCTGCTAAACCAAATCCACCTGGTAATTATGTTGCTCCACTTTCCTCTAACACAGGTCCCTGAATCAAAACAAAGTTTTGCATATTTTTTGTGAGAAATTTCAGTATTTTATTTTCTCTGCTTTTCTCACTGGTTTTAAGTGGATGAGTCTCAATTGGAAAACCATATTGTCACACACTTCCATGCATCTCAGGGTTTAGCAACATTTGAATCAGAGACTGAAGACAGTCGATGGGTTCTTTCGTTACTTTCTTTCATCAAATCTGATCAAACCAGACCCACACAGTCTTATTGAAACAGATACGGTGAGCTTCTGAAGTGTTGTTTCCCCCAAAGTTATAGAGGATAAGAGCAAGTTTCCAGGGCTTTAACACTACGTTCAGTTTGCTATTCTTCATGTTAACACACCATTGTTAGGAATGAATGCAGGATGTTTGCTAAAGGAATATTCTGCATAAAATAATCAGAGGTTTAAGCAGTTTGTTTAAACGGTGGACTGTGTTTTAGTGAACAGGTAAAGGAGCTGATAAATCAGTGCTCTGCATTGGAATGAGAAGGGAACTGTTATAATGCAGAGTGAGAGAGAACTGCACTGATAGGAAGAGTTTGAGAGTGACAATTTGCAGTAGACAACACTTTAACCATGGTAACCGCACGTCTTATTGCTTAGAAGAAAAAAAAAAAACTGTACGATGCAAATGTGAGTAAGATTTCACTGACCAATACTTAACTGAAGTAACAGAAAGTTTTGTTTGTAGGTCAAAACTAAAACTAATGACCCAACTCTACTAATAATTAAATGAATATACATTTTTATCAAAAGACTAGAACAGAAAAAGACTAACACTAAATCAATTCATGTCAAAAATGTCATGTCAATGTTTGCGGCTCCACTTGGATCTAGCGTACATTTCACTGCTGACCTCAGAAGCAGAGAAAACAAAAGGTGCTTTTATTTGAAACGCAGTTAGCAAAGACATGAACAAAAAATCAAAGTAAAATGAAATGAAAACCATTAGAGCTCTACAGGTTTAGTGTCTTTTTCTATCATGTCACTCCTGTCTTACCTTAATGTTTTTTTAGGCCTCATACATTGACTGGCTTGTTTGTGAGCTATAGTCAGACATAAAATCTGTCAGCTGACTAAACCACTCACCAATCATTCCACCCTCCACCTCTCCTTTCACTTGAAGCCTTCCAACCCACTGAGCTACTTAAATGTCAACTGGGACTTTATTTGTGTTTTTATAGAGAAGAAAAAACCAAATCCCAAATATCCTGGCATTCCTCAACCACTGCCAAACTGACCATTTTTACAACCCACTGTTTTACAGCCGTTAGTTGATCTTTTGGGTGTGGTCTGAATTCACACGCAATGATACTCAATGTGATGTAGTATCTCAACTCAAGACCACCAGCCCTCCCCAGCTGTCCTACTTCGCTGCTACCTTGGTATTTGATACAACACTATTTTAAGAGTGTGTGAACCTGTCAGCCCGTCATATGATCATCTGATTAAAAACTGGATACTGGACTGTCAATAGTATTGCAGCTGTGATGTCTTACTATATAGAGATTATCAAGGTTCCCACTCTTTCCTAGAGATAATTTTCCAGGACTTTTTCAGTAATGAAAAATGACAGACAGGAGCATATTGCTGTATGGCATGATTCCTATCTGTGAAAGTCTGATTTTAAATAAGTGTATACTTATCTATGAAATCATCTCTTGCATGCTTCATGAATTATGAAATTATGACAAATTGATTGCAAGAACTTTGTCACATAACAAATCAGCAGAGATAGTGACTGAGCCAAACCGCAGCGGGATAGGACACCAACGCAGTAGTGTTACACGTCACACCGCTGATTCCAAATGCCGCCAGGCTAACTAAAATCACACATGGGGACGAGGTTATCCCGGCTTGTTTGGTTCAGTGTAAACAAGCAAAGACAACATAACAAGGGGTCTTCATAAAGGAACTCTGTATCTCTGTATAAAAGGGGCTACTGATGACCAGCACAATACATTCCAGGTTCAAACTTCCAAATATAGATCTGCCCTGAAAAGCTGTAATCAACCAAAGCAGTCACTGTGATAATAACTGAAGCTGGCAGAGATTCCATCAGGTTTGAGGCCATTTGCAAAATTTCTTCCTTGACACAGGGAGGGGCTTCATGAAAGTGGACATTCCTTCAAAATTGTTACTCACATCTACTCAGACAAATTTTCATCTATTTGGTGAAAACAAAAGGAGACGTTCATTCACCATCTTTTTCCATCTTGATGACTCACCCTTCATGAATGAACTCCTCCAGAGCAGCGCATTCAGACACCAGCTGAGGACACTGGCACCGCAGAGCCACAAAGGACAGGATGGGCAGCAGGTCATCTGCACCGCTGTCAGACAACAGAGAGAAGAGGGCGGTGAGACTGAGTAAAAGAGGAAAACACAAGTAAATAAATAGAGCATAAGGGAAAATAAGAGAGTGACATTTACAGAGTCTGATGGCATGTGCTCCCCAGGGGACTGAATGGAAACTAAATCAAATGTAGCTCTTAATGGGATGCGTGTTCGGGGATGGGAGTGATAAAGCTTTTTTTCTCTCCCCGAGATCTGTAGGGAGGACAAATTGCAGCCTGGGAGATGATGACAGCCTGATAGCATTCTCCCTGTGTGCAGACAGTGACCATTTGTTTATCAGGACTCACACGCAGGGCTAACTGCTTGCTTGCTAGTTTGCGTGAGAAGGTAGGTTGCTGGCCCTGGACTGACCCGGCCGCATGCAACTGGATACTTTCCTTCTGCAGGTTGTGGAAGGTGTGGACAGGCTCATGTAACCACTGAGAGTTGGACCTCACACACACACACAGACAAACCCTGAATTATAATCTTCTGAGTTCACTACTGTAAACACACACATTGCTCCTCTCACACGAAAACTGGTGTCTCTGCATTCCAAGGACACAATATACTCTCCCCACATGCTTAAATACTGATTTCAGTGAGAAGATTAGGCAACATTAACAGTTTGCATGCATTCTGATTTAGTGGAGGATCAAAATAAAAAAGGAAAAAAAAACAGCAGATATGTGCAGAGGGTAAAATAATTCCTAATTAAACAGGATACAGAGGGAAAACTGTGGCCAATATAGCTGCACAATAGAAGAGAAAAAAGAAAGGGATATGGACAGAAGCACACAGGAGAACAAGTGAACTCCCAGTTGGTTAAAGACAAAGCAGTGATGAAAACTGCTGCTCGATGAATAGAAGAGGGCAGCGAGGACAATGAAGTGTGTTTGTGAGATTGTAAATTAGAACCTGAAGTGTAAGGGTGTGGCAGCAAACAGGCAGAAACTCTGAAAAGTAAATATGCAATATTTAAAAAAAAAAAAAACAATACAAATATACAACATAATCATTCCTGCTGAAATATGAGCTTGTCTTGCAGCAAAACATCTTGTTTAGCTATAAATCCACCATCTGAGCCGGGCCTTGATCAAAAACACTTTGTATGAGTCAGAGTCAGAGTGACATGCAGAAAGCCAACCTGTAGTTAGATGGACTAAGAAAAGCAGTCACATATGGGCCTGTGCTGAGCCGCAGTGAAGACTGACAAAATGTGAACACTAGCAGATTGGACACAGGAAACTTCACAATCCAACTTTACCCTCTTTGAGGAGCATAGAATTAAATTTAGAAGCTAAATTTTAAGTTCAGTTCTGAATTAAAGTTTTATTGAATTAAAGCTGCCAGTGGTTACTGGCTCGAACATGACATTGTAAAATTAAAATGGATCTGTGATGAGCTCGTAATGCCAGAGTTTGCCTTTGAGAAACAGTTGTGCCTTTGAAATGCTGGCTTTGATTCATAGATTTCTTTTATTTTGGCAAAGCTGCAATGAATTTCACCACAGATTATATCCTGAGATGGCTGACATGATTGCATTCTTGGTCTGTAAACTTAACAAGAAAAAATAAATAATTGTTTCAGACGCCTTATGTGGTTTGGCCATGTTTAGCTCATGTATCAAAACAAACTCCATCAGTGCGTTACAGTTGAACATACTGGGAGGACACAAAAATCCTTCATCGTCACTACATTTCTGGACAAAAAGAAGTGCTGTGCCCGGTCAACTCTTCTACTCCGCCGTCCCTGATCACTTCACAAACACTCCCAATACAAGCAGACAGATATGGAGCAAGTGGAACTAGTCTCAGCCATTCTCAAAAAACATTAAGTAGTCCAACACACGAAAAAAAAGGGACGAGATATAAGATAATTCTTTGGAAAAGAAACAAGACTTGGTGCATGATTTTTTTTTCTTTGTGCAGGTATAGGCACATAAAACCCCTTTAACTGTGGGTGACATATCTGATGAGTTTCATGTTGGCTTATTTTAAGCCCTATTAAAAAGTGACTAACCTTAAGACTGGCTCTCAAAACAACCCAGTAAATGCTCCTATTCTAAGACTTAAGTTCCCCACCCACCTTTAGAAAAAAAACTTTGGCCCTCAGTTTGTTTACTAGTGTGTTCACACAGAGTCTCAGTTTCTGCTTGTACAATAATGATGCCAACTGTCAGTCCACTAACTTACAAATGAGGGTTAAGCCAGGCAGTGATGAGGTTGATCATAATGACTAATTCACTGCCGTCTCTGACGTGGTACAGAGGATACCGTGAAGCCACAATCAGGAGATACATAAAACTTCCTCTGCATTCATTTATTTTTCAGTGTTTTGCTCAAACTTTGTCAACACAGAACAATTTAAGTTCATAGTGGACTGTATGTGCTCCATTATATGTGTTTTGACCCACTGAGCCTTTGTCTGATTCTCTGTGCATCATCATGGATTCCACAAACCTCCATCGCATTTCATCTTCTCTCCGTTGTTGTGACCTGGGTCTGTTCCAAACCCAGACAGGACGACCTACTTTTAGACCTGGCCAGGAAGAGGCACTCTGTAGGGGGCAATAGACCTAGGACAGCCCATGCTGTGCCAGGCATAGCTGAGCACTGATGAGACCTGACAGGGCAGCTACCAAGGCAGGGAGCCCTTAAATGATGTTTGGGTACTTTCACTGGACTTTGGGATAGTCTCTTCCTGCCTATAATAAGCATGTAGTAAATGAAGAGAGGGCTCTTATTTCTATATTATAAGTTTGAATAGGTCGAATCTGGAGGCATTCAACCAAAAACAAAAAAAATACACACAAACTTAATAGACTTACACTGTTCTGCACATTTTCTTTCTTGTTTATACCAAAACCCTAACGAGTTGGCACTTTCAGTTTCAGTAATAGTTCAGTGATACTCACATGGCAGCTGTTTTGGGTGCAGAGTCCACCTCATGAAGACACCTGTAATCCTCAGCACAGGCACAGATCACACGTAATGTCCTAACTGGAACAAAACATAGCAGAAGCAACATGTATAATCGTCCATGTTGGACCAAATTGACAATATACAGATACAGACAGAGAGCACTGATGGTCTGTGACTAAGGAATGTAGCAGAATGTCTCGCCATAATCAAAAACATAACTACAAAATTAACTGGCTCCACATGACAAGGATTAATCAGGATCGTTAGAGGTAATTTAGCAAATTAAAAATCAGATTTGGGCTGTTATGGATGAGTTGCACGCCCACACCAACCAATGTTCCATTTTTGGCAATAAACGACATAAACATCAGTCAGAGGTTCATGTAATGGATGCACTGGATGTGATGGCTAACATTTTTTTAAATGTTGTATATAAAGCAGCTAAAACCTCCATGAGAGCCACAGCAGAGAAAAGAACACAACAGAAACCCAGATTTAATCAATTAATTCGTCTGTTTTTTTGATTATAGATCAGGTCTAGGTTCAACATTAATACTGTGAAAGTATCAAAGCCTGAGTCCACAGAGAAATGCACACAGCCTGTATTCAGAAACTGAGCCTTAAAACCAGCCGTCAGAACTTCAGTAACTTTGTGATGTCACAACAAAGCAGTCACCGCTCTCAGCCATGTCCTAAGCCCCGCCCACCTGGACCCACCATCCAACCTTGCAGGATTTGGTTTCTCTGAGTGTTTATCATCCTTGCAAATTTCCCCAGTGTGACTAATCAAGGAATATCTTATCTTATCTCTCTTACCTGAAATCTGCTAAATTTTTATTGGATCAGTCAGAAAACAGACCTGTTGTTACTAGAGCTCCAGAGAGAAGCCTGAGAGAGGAGATGCAAAACTACATCGAGATGGTTTTTGGTTCTTAAAACCACAAATATATCTTCTTATGGATCAACACTTCAAATAAAACACAGGAGAAGAGGAAACTATAGAGCTTTAACAATCAAAGGAAAAGAACATCTTAGTGTTAACTTTCAATCATTAAAAATGTATCGTGTAAGTATACCTCTATGCTGGCTGCTTTATATTCAGTTGAACAAAGGCTATCTGTATATGATTGCACATGTCTTTTGAAGGTAAAGGGGAAGCTCTTATTGTGAAGGGGTCAGAAATTGAGGGTTGTTCTCCAGAGTTTTTTGAACATGGCCGTCACCCATGGTTGTCGATGAACTTTAGAAGTGTGTCATTTTGTTGTTTAACAGTGGTTGCAGAGGATGGTTAGCAACTAGGGAAACCATACGAAATTTAAAAGAATGAGAGAGTTACAGAACTTGAGAAAAGTGGAAAAGCGCTTGCCATGGCTTTAGAGCTGTCGAGAAGAGCAAGAGAAACTGCAACAGAAATACAGGTAGATGATCTGAATGAGGACACTGCTATGAATTCTTTGCTTGTGAAACTTGATGACTTAACTAGACTCAAAGAAGAAAGAGACCAAACTTATGCAGCTTACTCCAGTGAGACAGTAGTGTATCCATGATGGACTATAACTGATTTTGAATACTCACGAAAGCACAAATTCAAGATGGAACTTCCCAATGGAGTTATAGCATTTAAACTACTAGATATTGCTTACTTGGACAAGATAAGGCCGACCGTTAGCTCTGACAGCATGTACATATTTGACTTTTGAGTCGATGAAATCAGCACTGAAGAGGATTTTTGGAGGAAAGTTGTCCGCTCCAACAGTGGGAATTAATCAGGGCACCGCAAAGGTGAAGGAGGGCAAACCATGGTCCCAAAATGATCAACAGAGACACCACAGCCTGGCACCAACCCCCTGGATAGATACGGCTGCAGATCAAAATGTGCCGTTTGTTGAAGCACGTTCCACTAGGCAAAGGACTGTCCACACGGAGGTGAGCAAGTCAAACTGACTGAACCCGACATAGAGGAGTGCAACATTACTCTGTATACAAAAGAGCCGCCCACTGAAGCAGAAATCTTTGACAGAGTGTTTTGGCTCACACTGCACGACACAGACTGAGTGACGAAAGGAATGGCTGGAGAGCTACATCACTGAACTGAGCCAAAACAAGATGAAGAGTCTGAGGAAGACAGAGACACAGTCAAAGCCCTGTAGGTTTGGGGATGGAAAAGTGTCTATTCCAACAAGTTTAAGTTGAAAGTTGTCTCAGAGAGACTCCACTACTTTTGAGCAATGCAAAACTGGTACAATCTGCTGCTCATTGAGCCCATTAATGTTGCAGGCAAAACAGATTCAGTTGACATATCAAATTTAGAGAGCTTCCAGGCAGAACCCACTGCTACTGATGTTAATACCACAGACATCAGTGAGGATTGCATGGATCCATCATTAGACCTGGTCAAACAAGAAGAGATGAAGAGTTGGAGAGATAACAGTGTGTTTCGAGAAGTTCAGGATCTCCACCAGATCAGTGGTCACCCTCATTGAGACAGTCACTGGATCAGTAACCAAAGTGCTGATCCAGTGGCTAGAGGTTTTGAAGAGTTCAGTCTCTGCTGCTTACCTCCACTAAGGATCCTCCTTGGTGAAAAGTGGGGTGGTTATTAATAAACGAATAAATGTAATTCTAACAACACATCATCAGAAACTATACAGACTACAACACAAACAACCTGGAAAAATATATTGCAAATAAGATGTTGTACAACATAGTGAGTTATCTACAGAAAATGAATTTAACATTGTAAATGCTATTCAGTACTTCACTTACTATCTTCTCTATATCTTATTTTGGAGCACATATGTAACTTCTCTCCCTACAGGCCCAAATATCTTTTTGCTTCTTTTGGTTCTCCAGTGATTAAGGTTCCCTTTCAACAGGCACCTCTGTGTTTATATGATTGAACTTTTTCAGCTCTGCACTCATTCTTCTTCTACAGAAAGGATTTTTGGCAAACCTGACTGGGGAATATAATCCCCCTTTTAGTTTACAGGTGTGTAATGTTGCCTGACAGCTTGCAAATGGATACAAAACATTTTATTAGTGCCACGGGTGCTCAGCTCCGAGGCACTCCTCTACAGCTAGAATAGCTGAGAGGAGTGCTTCTATTAATATTCCTTCGGGTTTATTATTATTCTTCCGCCAAATTTTGGCGCGTAACTCGTCCCGCAGCTTTGAGAAAACCCCGGTAATATATACATCAAAACGTGCGTCTTGATCCCGAAAGAGGTGCTATGACTTTTGGTGTTAAAATTCCAATTTTTCCCAAAGTTATTCCAAAAATACTGGGAATAAATAATGCATTAGGAATGCATTGGAATTTTCTTTAAAAACCCACAAAATTTCACATTTTTTCTGAGTCACCCAGCTCTCTCATACCTGCACGTAGAAATGTGATTCAAACTATAAAATGGAGGAAAACTTCTGCTCTCTCCAAAACACAGGAACTGTTTTTACATAACATGTAAACTTTTCAAACTATGAGCACTCAAAGGAGCAGTGGAAATCACTTTTTCTTCAAAGTTAGAGTGACAGCGTCAGTTGGCTAGAGTGCGTGAAGCAGTAAAAAATAACCTTTATTTTTATTTTTAACTCGAGCTCACGGCCAAACCGTAAAAAGGAGACAAATAATTCTTTCTGAAAATGTAGACATAGTTGTTGGGATTCATAAAATGTAACTTTGACAGGCAGGGTCTGCACAAAATTTAAATGGGGGTGCCGAGTCCGGCAGCAATACCTGTCTCACTCTCATTGACACCTAATGTAATCGTCTTTCTTTTTTCAAAAGAATCTCACTCTGTCTTCGCACTGAGCTTACTCACTCATTTTAAGGAATATCTGAATAAAATAGAGACTGTAAGAAACTTCTGGCTTCAGTGTCTGTCACGGTGTTTTCGGTTTTTGAAAAGAAGTAACGGTTTTCTCATAATTTGCAATTGTTTTAAGCCATGTAGAAGCCAAATTCTGGGCAGATTTTCACATTGCCATGGCAACGGCAGCTCCTGACCTGTGTGCGTGTGTGCGTGCCTAGCAACCAGATAACCAACTCTCCAAGCTCCGCTAGCTTTACATTAGCCGCATGTTAGGTCTTAAATTACATTTAGTTAGGTCTTAAATATGTAAGTCCATTTACTGCTTCCTTTGTTGCTTTTCTTTTTGTTTTGTTAAATGAGTGAATGAAGTTGTGACGGTCTCCGCTGAGACAGAGGAGAGGAGAAGCTACTAGCCCTCTCTCGCTGTCACTTCTAGTCGCGTTGCTCTCCTCCCCAGTAATGTTAAATTTAGCACCGAAAAAAACATAATAGTGGTAATTTAAATAGCGGTTCATGGGATTTATTAACCCTCAGGGGTCCCTCTGTCCTTTTTTGGACATTTTCTTCACTTTTCTTTTTTGATTTGCTGATCATTTTGGCTGTGTTACAGCTGAAGGTATGGATTTCTGCAAGAAAGTGTCTTTTTTGACATATTTTTAAAATCTAATGTCAGTTACTGTTACAGGTCTATTATACACTGGTAACACATTTTGTACCCTCTGGGGTTCCTCGCGTCCAAAAAAGGACACACAAAGAAAATGCTATAAAATCATCATATATCAATATTTTTTTCTGCTTTTTTTTGCATACATCTCTTAAACCACTTCAGTTCTGCTCAAACCTACTAAATGTTTATTAGTTTTCAGGCTTTTAACCCTTTAAATACCAGTTTGAAGACATGTTGCCTCTTGTTTTATTAAAAAAAACAACACAGAATATGAGATATTTCCCACATAATACATGATGGAGGGATGTGACATTGTTTTATATCAGAGTCTTTTATATTAAGACATTTCTCAAAACCAGAATATGATCAGGGTGACTTTTGAACACTGGAAATAAATCATGTACTCATCCCGGCAGTATAGCCCCCGTGGCACTCAAATTTCCCTGGAATTTTCTAGTTACTGACTATTACCTACTTAGCACTTGCTTTTTAATTCCTTCTCAAGCTTTTTTGGGGAAACTAAAATCAATTCTTTTTCAAACTTTTCAAGATCTTAAGTCCTTAAGAGTCAGCACCGACTCTAAGGTAATGATACTATACCAGGAAAGGGTGGATCGCCTCCTTCATGCTGAATTAATACTCTCTGTCCTAAAAGTCAGCACTTGTGTCAGGGAGAATAAAATCAACACAGTGTGACTCACCGATACATTCCAGCTTCTTCTGTGGACAGCAGTCTTTAACAAGAAGCTTAAGCTCTTGAACAGCAGACTCGTAGGGGTAGGAACCTTGCAGTGTGTCAGGCTCTGGGGGGAACAGTTTCGAGGGAACACCCAGAACTCCAGGTGAGGCATCCTGGTACAGTTTCATACTCGTTTCAAAGGCCCGCTCTCTTTCCCTGTTGACCTTCCTGAGAAAGAAATACAAAAGGTGAAGTTTTCTCTGCTCCTGAAAGGACGCATGATAGAATAAATCTGGGAAAGACTGTGTAAGGTTGTCCTGAGGGCAGGTAAAAAGAAGCTGATAACAGTGCTTGTCATTCTCAGGCCAACAGTGGACTTAGCAGTGACGTGGAAAACAGGACATCATCACATTTCAAATCCAGACAAAATGAGGAAAAAAAAATTTAATCACTCAGTAATTTGCTTGAAATCTGATCAAAATTATCTACTTGGAATTAATTCAAGCTGAGGACAGCCTGAAGAAAAATGTCATGCTCTAAACACGTCTGCCCTGCCTTATCAATATTTATTAAAATGTATCTCTGGCCTGAAGAAAGAAGGAAAAGACAAATGTGTTTTATTTTCGTTAAGAGGTTGGTGTGTCACAGAACAAAAACAATAAATACAAGTGAGTCTCTGTTTCATGGCACCGTCTCTGTCATTTGTCCCTGATGTAACCAAATGTGGCATCATTTTGATTGGAGATGGGCCACTGTCAAATGAAAGAGAACAAAACCACCTATCTTAACCATTATTTAGTATTAACACTAAACACTCTAAAACCTAGAGGTTTTCTTTGAGTGCAGGAAATACTGGAAGCAGCGTAACACAAAAAATGGTGTTGAAATATTTCTCATGATAATGTGAGAGGAGGTACATTTAGCAGAAGTCAGTAAAGATCATATTATTATTTCTTCACTCAAGTATAGTAGGGGTGGGCATGATTAATAGATGATCGATAATTGATCGTTCAGAATTTTGTTGATCATGTGGAATCTGATCGATCTAACGTGTGTATCAATGAGGTTGTGTTGTGTAGTGTGTCTTGAAGCAATGCAATGAATTTCACTACGTGGCAGCAACTGGCCAGGGCGCAATTTAAATTTTCAACAGAGAAAAATGAATACTCAGCTGCAGGTAAACAAGAAGAGAGCAAGTCCAAGTTTGGGGAACACTTCGAGCTGAAAAATAACGAAGCTCATTGTAAACATTGCAATGCCGTGTATAAGCGGCGTAGCTTTGGCTTGTTATTTGTGAAGAGGTTTGGCTCAGAGCCTCGGGCTCCGCTGCCATTACGAGCGCCGCATATCTTTTTTGTTCTGTTTAATAGTTAAACAATTCAACTTTAACTGCCGTGTTTAAGAGGATTGTTGTTGGACTATAATTTCTTCTTGGGATAAAGATTTAATTGAGGAAAAAGAGGCTTTCTTTAGTATTTTCTGCCACAGGCATATTTTAATATAAAAATTCAATAATGAATCCATAATTGATCTTTAATTTTCCCGATGATCAATCAAGGAAATTTTTTCAAGTGCCCATCCCCGAATTATAGTCTGTAAAATTATCAGTGGCATTGCAATGAGAATTAGAACAGGAATAGAAGCTGGAAGAGGCTGACATACTTAGAGTAACACTCCCACATGCTGGTCAATGAGAGACATCGACTCGCACTGAATTTCTAGGAAACGATTCATGCCAACCTCTAACACTTGCTTTACACTGCAGTGTAATAATAAAACACTGACAATACTAAATGTCTGCAGCCTGTGGTCTCTTCCCTGTCCACCGTGAACATGTTAGTGTTGTCACTCAACTGTCACTAACTCACAATTAGGTTGAATTTATTTGAACACAACCCACATAGTCTGATTCTCAACTTTCTTGCACTTATGCATTGGTCCAGTTGTTTTTCACACAGTCAAGCAAATATGGAGCAAATCCATGATCCGTCAATCGATTTGGTCTATTGAGAACCATTTTCAAAAGCATATCATTTGTTTTAAATTGACTTCCTACACAGGCGCGGCACTGATTTAGGATTTTTTTGGGGGCTTTTTAACTAGCAAATTGCTTTGCTTGTGAATTGTGAAAGCCATGTCTTAGATGGAAAACGTTTGTTCAACACACTACCAAGTAAGAGCCTGCAATGGTATACTAGTCTGAAAGCAGGCAAAAACAACCACTATATACTGTATATAGTGCATGATTTCTAAAATTCAGTTTGTCATTATGGGTACTGAGTGTACATAGATGAGGGAAAAACTAATTTAATTATTTTATCATAAGACTGCAACAAAATGTGAAGGGGGTCTGAACACTTCCTGAATTCAATGTACATGTGTGGCAACTCTCCAAAAGGTTACCTGCTAGTAATACAACTTGACCGCTACTGATTTTATCCAACAATGCACATTTTAAACCTGGCACTTGCTGCACAGTAATTTCATGTTTTTCTAGTTCATTAGAAATAGTCAGAAGCTTTGTGCTGACAACTTTCAGCATTTTCTAATTATCCATTGGAAATACTAGTTTAAAATACAGTCAAACTCTCAGTCTAATTCATTTACAGCCAGTTTCACTTAGCCAGTTTAAGATAACATTAAGGCATGAAGGATTTAGGTTGAACTACCTGAAAAGAGCCACAAGGGCGCTCCACAGGGGGGTGAAGAAGGCTTCCTCTATGCTTGCAAGGCACAGGTCTTTAGAGCTGGCTGTGTTTAGACACTCAAAGGACAGCAAACACAGTGACAGGAGCTGATCTGAAATATTAAAAAAAAAAAAAACATGTTCTTTTAATATTCAACAACTTTTACTTTGACTTAATGTAAAATCATCCTCAAAAGCAACAGGAAACTGCTGATGACAATCAACATGATGAGGAAAGTTCTCTGCATCCTGACACACACACAGTATTCATCCTCTATGGTCGCGCTCACCGATTGCAATATGAACGTCTTTGACAATGGCCTTCAGATGTTCTTTCATCGCCCTCATCTCCAGCTCCTGTATGTGGCCCTCCTTCAGCATAGAGGTATCACAGGTCAGCTCTGCATCTGAGCCAGTGTCATCTGTGCTGTCATGGGGTGGGGCCAAGTCCAGCTGAGTCAGAAACTGCTCCAGATCCTCAAATGAGTTCTCCCGGTCCACCGTCACCTGTGTATGAGGCTCTTCCCCTTCCTCCTCCTCCTCCTCGTCGTCATAGTTAGTGTTGAGGTCATGAGAGAGCGAGGGGGAGAGCGACAAGCTGGTGCTGAAGCCCTGGCCACTGCTCACTGTGTTGGTCGACTTTCTCTTCGTCTCTGTATGACCCAAAACATAAACAGATGAATGAATGCTAATGTAGCACCCATGACTGTTATACAAGTGTGATTTACCATTTAGCCATTACTTGTTACTTACTTGATTTATTTTCCTTATAAAACTATACCTCTGATACCTTTGTGCCGGACGAGAAGCCAAACTGGTTCAAATCATCCTTTTTCTAATGTAATAAAACAGAAACTTTACAAAAAAAGAGGGTGGGCAAGTTCTGTTAATCCTTGGCTCTGACTCAAGACAAGAAAGACAAGAAAGAAATGAATGTGTTTTGCACACTGGTGGTTCTTTATTCAACAAAGCTGACACTGCAGCACAGTGGCTTCATTTTCCTGGACTTTTTAAAAGAACTGTTTACAAGTCCATCAAGTGGACAGAAAATCTATGTTTAAAAGTCAATGATTTCAGACACAGTAAGTGAATGAAAATAGCAAGAAGGGAGCCAAGAAAATTAACAAGCCACATGTGAACCCAGCATTTATACATCAGACAAATAAGACGTGGAGCTAATGAATCACTTCCGTCTGTTACTCATGTCAAATTCATGTTCAGTTCTGTACAAACCAGCACAGGCCTGCACAGCAGTAGTTACCTTTCCAATAATCTGCTTAATGTGCAATTTGAAATTGCAAAATTAAAAATAAGTAATGGAATCAACTGAAGTCCCAAAAAATAAAAAAAAACTCTCAAATGCCACAAAAAAAAATGTATACCCTTGCATGAGGTGGTTTTTCAGACGATTCAACAAAGAAATATTTCACAAAATTGAAATGGAAACAGTTTTTACGCATTCAAGTTTTGGTGACTGCTGTATCGTGGCCCAGGGAGCCTGTTCCAACAGAGAGGCAGACTGCTGAAAATACACGTTTAATTGGAATGATATTTATTTGCAACGGAAACACAGACCATTCGCAATTGTGTTTTGTCGACTTTTCTAAAAATTTAAATAAATTAATAAAAAAATCACTATTATACTATGCAAAACTGCAATGGAAACCTGGCTACTGTTTATCACAACAGAGCCAACAGCTGCACACTCCACCACTGTCACCAGTGAGGGGAGCACCACTGCTAAAAGCTACTTTGTTCAGTGACAACAGTGGTTCAGTACAGTCAGGTCGGTTTAAAGACTCAGTGTTTAAGATTCATAGGTACATGTACTGATCACCTGGCTCTGGCCTTACCTGGATGAAGCAGGTTGTGAGTGCTGCGAGAGGGTCTCAGCAGCACGGCAGGACTCTGGGGGAGGCCTTTACTGACGATGGGGTAGAGGCCGTTGTAAACCCTGTACTGGTGTTTCCTCAGCAGCTTCACCACAGGGTGGTCACACCGGCTGAGGACACAGTACAAATGCTGGTCAAACCTCATTTGGCATGAAAATGCTGAATATCCTGTTACATATGGTATCATGACAGCATCCAGCAGCTATACAAGCCCCAATCAGATGTACAGTAAGAGACAATTAGCCAGATGAGGGGCTATACTTCTATATCATCAATAGCTAATTAAGAACAAAATCAATGATAAAAGTTTAAAAACAAAGTAAATCATGACCGATCTTGCATTTTTATCACAGATTTCTGTATTAACTGTCTTCTTTGCTTCATTTGGATGCTTGGCCAAGTCAGGTAAGAGGGACAAGTACAAACAACACACTGCAGGTACAAATACAGATGTGGACTTGTTTACATCTACGTTATATGGTGTTAAAAAAAAAAAACTTTAATTTAGGAAGAATCTTCAGTGTGTACCATCCTTTCAGAAGAACAATGTACATGTATATGTTAACAAACACGTTTTCTGTCCGTCTCTGTTGTATAATCATTATTTAAGTCTGTATGGAAACAATCTTGAGTCACACTAACTGGAGCTATCTCTGAAGATGACAACTAACTGCAGGTTTAACCCTGTTCTACCATCTCTAAAAACTAGATCACACGAAGGGACAAAAACACTACAACATGTCAACCTCCACTAGATGGGAAGGTTAACAGCACATCCTATTATCTGATGTGTTTTGATGATGCCATGGTTTAACAAATGTTAACATTCAACCAAGCGTCACTACAGTTAAGCACAAATATGAACTTAAACCTTATTTAAACTGCCCGTGTTGCAGTGAGTTACCTGAGCAGGTAGGAGACTAGACGTGACACTAATGTGACATCATCAGGATTCTCCTTCATGTTGGCTTTCCACAGTTTGGGCCAATCCTAAGGAATCAAAAAAAGTATAATTGACTTCTTGGTAACTGTATCTACAATTTCATATAACCATGTTGATTGGTTGATTCATCTTCTTAAACTGACAGTTGTTTTATTAATTTTTTTTTGTAAAAAAATTTAAAAAAAAAACAAACAAAAAAAACCCAATTTATTGGAAAGAGCTACACATAAGCACAGAGGTGTTTGACTTAGCATTTCATACAATCAAATAGTGAACACACAGATTTTCAACAGACCAAGTAACCACGACTCAAAGGCATCACCTCGAGGTCTGCTAACTTGTGGTGGCTTACAGTGCAGGAAGTATTCAGACCCCCTCACTTATTTCACTTTTATTATTTGCCTCCATTCATTTTTTCCCCTCAACAATCTATACTTAATAGCCCATATCAACAAAGTGAAAACTAATTTTTTCCTTTATAATAAATTTTCTAAAGTTGTTTGGTTTCGTCAATTCATTGTATTGATGAGAGAAAATTAATTTTTAATGATTTTAGCATAACACAACAAAATGTGTAAAAAAGTGAAGGGGTTTGAACACTTCATGAATATATTGTATGTCATTATCATTTGGTTTTTACAGCATTTACTCACAAACTTACATGGTCTTGCTCATATTCCAGTACGTTGGTATAGAGTGTACGCTGTTCTTGCTCCTCTGCAGTCATTGCCCCAGATGCTGCAAATCTCCTGTGGTGACAAACACAGGAAACATATTTACATATATTCATATTTGCCAACCTTGCAAGTATCACCCTTGTGAGTATATGACAAGAGTCACTGATGTTTTTTCTTTTTGGGAAAACTGTGAAACCACAATATGAAACCTGCCTCTTTGTGGATTTAGTGTAGAAAGCCTTTTTTTAATTTATTAATATCCCAATACAGACTCAGATTTATTTATTACTTTCATTTACATATTGATCAGTAAGTTATACAGTAGATTTTGTGTCATGACCACTGAACTAAACAAAATTGCAAAAGCGAACGCTAATATACAGTACATGCACTCTGCCATCATATTTCATGTCCTAACTAAATTTACAGACATAATTTGATGACGTGCAGGAGTCTTCACTCTATCTGTGATCTTTGAGGTTTTTCGGAGAAAGAGCAAATGTGACAGGGAATCGTTCTCAAAACTGTGTGACACTGAATGGTATCCAAAATTGACTAAACCCTTTCCAAGAATTTACTGAGAGCTTTACCCCTTAGATAAGTACACAAATAGATAACACCACTGACTCCATATGGAGCCTTTCAAATGCACTTTGGAACATGAGAGGGTGAAAACATCATTTCAAAGTTTAGGAGACACTGGAAGGAACTGACCTGAGACATGAAATGAAAACTATACTTCACTTAGGGAAAAAGAAGCTTATGATTCCATCTGAAAATCTGAACTGAATATATTGTATTCAACATTTACAGCCTTATAGATGTATAGGTAAATACCCAAATCTGATCTAATGTAATTAGGTCAAGTCAGCCACATGGAAAGCTAGTTGTCACAGTAGCAAAGAGCTGCACAGCTTTCTGATCTGCACAGCTTCCTGATCAAAAAGTCGCTCACGTTAAAACTACATACTAGATACAACCCAGGTGATTGAAGAAAAAGGCAGCGACTAAAAACAGAACTAAAGATTAACCCAATCCAGTGTGTTTGTGGAGAACCATGGTGTACCTGTTAGCCTCCTCCTGGAGCCTCAGTCTTCTCTCCTCCATCTTCCGTTGTAGCTGATGTTACAACAGACATTAAGGAAACCTCCAAACATCTTTCGTTATATATAAGGCAATTAGCCTCCATTATCCTGTGCAGCTGAGTTTACAGAACCAGAAACAGAATTCAACAAAAGAAAAGGAGTTGCCACCAGTTAAAGATAGCTTCCAGGTGTGCACCGACATCAATGTGAAGGGCATGGATGGAAATGAGCATACATGCTCAACTAGCTCTAGGTACAGTCAACATTGTAGAATCACTGCTTTGTGGACTATATAACCAGGGAAATCTGAAAACATACAAAATTGCAGCGATGCTAAGTGACCTCAAAGACAATATTTCATCATCAGAAATCTACATCCCCTCACACAAGACGTTCTCTCTGTCCCAGCAAAGCTCCACGTATTTCATGACCACTTGAACAATAATATAAGAACTAAGGCCCTGATTTTTGCACTTCAATAACACAGTATGTTGCCTGTCATTGCTGGTGGTCTGGCAGCTTAAAGTCAAATACCTGAGTAGAAATAAGAGGCTCTTTCCCTTTTGAATATTTGCTCCCTATGAGTCTGATGTTTGCCATCTGTCCACACAGAAACCAGATGAAATGTTATCATATATAAAATATTGGGAAAAAAAATTGTGGACACCAGTAAAACTAACCTTCACCAGTCACACAGCGAAGATGGAGACTTGTACAACACAGTGAAAACAGAACACAAGCTGACAACAGAAGGATACAGCATCCTGCCTGGCCTTGGCGATGATGAGGTTCTCCATCATCTGCCGCTGGAGAGAGAGCTTCTGCATTGCAAAAAAGGAGAGGGAGAGTTACTTTAATCACATGCATTCACGCAATTACATATAATGAGGAACAGGTAATATGTAAAGTTGTATTAAAATGTGAATAGTTTATATAGAGAAAATTTCCATTCATTTCAGCACAAACATAAGGCCCAAGTGGTGTGAAGACATTGCCATTGTTATTAACCAAAATGAGACGAAGGAGCTGATTATTGGGAGACATCTCAGTGCCATTATTCTCCACCTGTTCTGTTTAATGATCAGCCTGTCGAAGTGGTAGAGCAGTTCAAATACTTAGGAACCTCTTGATTGCCCTTTAAGTTTTACAGCCAACACTGAACACATGTTCAAAAAAGAAAAGCAGCGTTTGTATCTGATCAGGAAATTGGACTCATATGATATAAGCAAGAGCATTTTAGAGACTGTTTACAGAAGTCTTGTGGAAAGTGTTTTAACTTTTAATATGTGCACATGCTCTGGGCACCTGGGGTCTAAGAACAAAAACAGACTGTCCAGGATTACAAACATGGCCAGTAAAATCATAGGGAAAGAGTAGAAACAACTGTAGTGTATATGCAGACTCCAGGTGAAACAAGAATTTCCACAAACTGTATATGATCTTGTTCATCACCTTTTTAAAGTATTCACTAAACTGCCCCCAGGAAGATGCTGTAGAGCCGCAACAGCAGCCAGAACATTTACAGGAAGTCCTTTATACCAAATGCAATAACTTAATAACTCTTAAGCATCATTCATACTGGAATCATATCTCTTATTGTTATTTGTACTGTGCATGTTGTGCTAATTTTATGTATTTATTGTTTGTTTAATTTTTTGTGAGTCATTTGTGGACAATAAAGATTATTATTATTATTATTATTATTAAGATTACCTTATGGTTGGTTTGTAAATATTACCAGGGGAAACAAGAAGTCAGGTGTCAAAAACTAAATACACAAAAAAATGTATTTGCTGCTGGAGTACGTCATGGCCCATCCCAGCTCCAATCTAAATTCTAAAATATCCATAAATAAAGTACAGAAATGATTCTTCATCTTAAATTACTGAAACAGACAAAAAGTCTAAATAATACCGTCTGCCATGGCAACACTAAAGACTGCATAGGGTCTCTTGTGATGAGTGATATCTGCCACAATACATAAACGTCCAGACGCCATAAACATCACTGTGAATGCTTGTCATACAGTTACAATGAAGGGACTCAAATAACAGTATCATTCGCTTCTTGCTGACTGTGGATACTCCATAAAAGACTGTAAGTTTGCTTTTGTTTTTTGTTTCTACTGCTGTCTGGATGTTTGTGGTGTCAGCGATGCTCTGTAGCGTGAATTAGCTGATGTGACTTTACCTTTACAAACGCCTTTAGTTTTCTCCAGTAAGCACGGAGCTCCACTTGACGCCGAAACATTTTCCGTATCTGAACGATGAGTTAACATTATTTTTATTTAAATTAAAACACAACACAGGAGGAATGTCGGTGGAAATGAGTTAGCTTAGTAACGACGGTAATTAAGAAAATGTGTCATTAAGTTACAGGTTAAATGTTGAGGCCTCTCGCTTACCATGATTTTTCTGTCTGGAGAAAGTGACCTTTCTCTTCAAAAAGACGAACACGACGAGAAGAGAAAGTTGTGCTTCTTGAGCTGTAAAGTTATCTATGCTTAAGTATCGCATGCAGCTCAGAGACGCAGCCCACTGCCCCTTCACTCAGGTATTCATTTATCAACTGGTAAGATGCGTCAAGCTAACGTACGCTCGGTACCGGAAGTACCACAGGTAATTCAAAATAGAACCACACACGATGTCGCTTAAAATGTTGAGGCAACTATTGAAAAAAACAGTACATTAGTACAATAGCACATTAGTTTTATTATTAAAAAAGAAAAGATTTATTTTCAAAGCTGGATTCATTGAATATCGATCAATTTAGAATGTTTATTAACCATCGCTTTATTGTGGAGGGATATATCGCAAAAATAAATGATGACGTTAAAAACATTTAGAACTAGAATTATGGCCTCATGGTTGTATTACTCTGCGACTCAAACTGGTGTCTGGTTACATCCTGGTTTATCCAGAGTCATATAAACCATTTGTGTGAAATTTTGTCATTATTTCTGTGTGAAGTCTTGAGTAATGGCTAAAAAGTGTTTTCTGAGGTTACCGTGACCTTGACCTTGACCTTTGACCACCAAAATCTAATCAGTTCATCCTTGAGTCCAAGTGGACATTGGTGCCGAATTTGAAGAAGTTCCGTCGTGGTGTTATTGAGATATCGTGTCCACAAGAATGAGACGGATGGACAGACAGACAACCCAAAAACAATATGTCTCTGGGTCTGGCTGTCACCGGCTTGGATGCATAAAAATGGGAAAGGTTTATTGAAGTAGAAAGCTAGTTGTGATAGTGCTGAGCCAAAAAAATAAAAAAAATAATGCAGAATCTGAATTATTTTGTATTTGTTTTGTTTTTGTCTCTTATTCAATTATTTTAGCCTGATTGATATTATAGTGTTTTGTGTTTGCGTTCATTATTTGGTTTGTTTAGTGTGACTTAGTGTGTTAAGTTTGATCTGTGTTTATTGTTTGTCCTCTGGTTATTTATGTCATGTTTTTGTTCACTAAAAAAATTGTACATTAGTCATGATTTCTGTTTAGGATATGTGTAGTCCTTCCTAAGGTTGAGAATTATTTTGCTATTAAGAGCACAATCATTGTTTTCAACACTTTTTTACTGACTCATCTCATAGACAGAGGAAGCACGATTTCCACTGTAATTAAGTTACCACATCAAATTTAAGGTATTTGAATTGACTGTTGTCTTTTGAAACTAATGAAGACACACTGCTGAAGGAGCTTCGTATGTTTGTGGAAAATAATAAAGTCATTTTGAAGAGACAAAGGTTGTTGTGAACACGTTCTTTGTGTGTCTTATCACTTAACTGTACAAAACAGTGCAATAATGGATGCTGAACCCATTTAAAACTTTTAGTTCCACTGATTAACTAATATGAGCATCAGTCCAACAGGTCCAGAGAGGAGAGGTCGACCGATGTAATAACAATAGTTTGGAAAAGGCAGATTAATCAGCTGATACCAGGATTACTTCTGCATCCTGTTACTCTGTTAAATGCCACTCTTACAAACCATTAATGTTCATGCATAGTCCTGGGGATCCTAAAGTGTGCGATTTCATTTCATGAATGGATACTTGGAGGTTGGATTATTTGAAAGAGGGAATGTCAAATAGGTAAGTAAAGTAAAGTTGAAATGTGTGTATTTTTCATCTATATTTCAATTTTACTAATTTGTATTTATTTAAATTCTATTTACCTACACTATTTGTATAGTGCAGTCAGTTGGCAATTTATTATGTACACCTAGCTAAAACTAATGCAGTCTAATACAACAGTCCATCAATAAATCCAACCTTCATGACAGTTCTACTGATTCAACTTTATTGTAATTTTGAAGGTTGCAGTTTGTGGTGCTGTTGAATTGTACTGTGTTATATGGACAGGTGTTTCAATTATTTTGTCTACCACATTTATATCAATGAGGGAAGGCTACATTCAACACAAACTGAACAACCTTCATGACGGATGAGGATTCATAACAGGATTGTTTAATTATCCTTCATTAGTTTTAGCTAGGTGTTCCTAATAAACTGCCAACACAGTGAATATACCTATAGTTCTCACTTCTGGTCCACAATCATGCGTAGTCTTAGAAAAACTCTGGGTCAGGTCCTTTTTCTTCTATTTGCTTCTAAGCTTCATTTCAGCTATTTCACGAAATAAAAGTCCTTATTTATCAAAAATAAATACCCCTACGAAAAAACACCTCCCCCCCACCCCAAGCACAAACAAAAAACCCTCCCAATCCCAAAACCTCCCCCCCAACCCCAACCAACAAAACCCCACACACACACACACACTTACCAAAGATGTCTTCTGATAGGCCTGACCAGGTGTGAGTCTTGCCAGACGAGCTTCGTAATTGGCTTTCAACTTTTGGTTCAATCGTGAAGCTTGTTCAATGGGTGTCAGCGTCCTACAGCACACACACGCACACGCACACGCACACGCACACGCACACACACACACACACACACACACACACACACACACACACACACACACACACACACACAAACAAACAAACAAAATACAAATAAGCAACATGTTACTGAGGGGGTGAGTCGAAGGCACATAAATCAGTCTCACCTGTCATCATGATAGGATTATTACTTTTTTATTTGTTGTTTGTTTTATTTGTTATTTTATTTCAGTCTAAACTGCTGAATATTTAGAACCAGCATGGACACTGTTCTAATAAAATAATAATAATGATAATTAAAGCTTTAATTGTACAGCACCTTTCTTAACAAAGTCACAAAGTGCTTCACAAAAGGATAAAACAAGAATAAAACAACAAAAAAAAGAAAAGAAGAAATACATCAAAATTCACAGAGATGAAGAAGGTTTTAAGAGGGGATTTATAAGCAGTGACAGATCAAATCTAATCTCAGCAGGTCAGTCATTAGTCAAAGAGCTCAAGCACCAACAACATTCACATATGGTAATGTTAACATTCTGCAAGTTAAATCAACTATTTTTGATAAAAATGATCCGTAGGCATAAAGAGAACTGAACATAAACACGGCAGTGAGAAGGAGCAAGAGTTTTCTAAATTCATTCATTTCTAACCACAGGTCTAAAATGTAGATTATTACACAGTGTAAGAATCTGTTTGATGCTCTGATTTGGTTACTGGAGAGGAATCCAGAAGTGACTGGTTCTTGGAAATCTCTCTTATCATTGCTGTGTTGTTCACTTCAGAGGATATCTTCCATTGAACAGAGCAACATTTGCCCTTACTTTTTGCTTGCGTCCTGTGACTCCACTGTTTGTAGTCTCTTGAAGACTTCAGGGGGGAGAAAGGGGGAGAGCTCCCCGCCACCTTCTGACAACACCCTGCGGTGACCGGTCTTTGTGGGGCTGGTAGCTTTACGACCTGGATCAACAAGAGCACCAGATAGTGGGACAGTGACAGCAGAGGTGAAAGACAGTGAGAAAAGTTCTTATTGGTTTAAAGGACAAAATCATGTGGTTGTACAATGGCTAGTTTTGATTTGTGATCCCGGGGCAGACTCTGAGTTAGCAGAGATTGAACATTATGTTTGTAAAAGACTGGACTGGAGGATTTGGATATATTCACCAGTGTTTGCAGCAATAGCCACTGGGAGGACGGCAGTCTGATGGGGCTCTGATTGGGCAGGTGAACAGGAAGAGGAAGGAGAGGCAGAGGCTGACAGGTCAGGAGGGTCAGTGCTCTTCTCTATAAATGACTTGGCTCGCTCCAGACACTGCTCCGCTAGCCTCAACATACGCTCCACCTCCACCGCCACCATCTCCCTGTCCTCTGAGAGCGGCAAAGAAAAAGAGAGAAGAGAAAAGCTTATGAGAAGTGATCCTGTGTGGTTAATCTAATGCAGGTATATTATAGAAAAGTCATGGGATTAAGATCTGAGTCCAATTCATGCTAACAGTCAACTACTGTATTCACGCTGATTAGTTCAAATCTGGTTAGAATGATTAACTACAATGGGAGAGGCTGGTCCCATCCACCAGTCCACTGACTGACACATGTTCAAACCTCAGAGTTTTTTCTCTTGGTTTATACATTTCATCTGAGGTCATCATAGTGGTCTAATAGAAAACTGACAATGCACAAATAACATATGAACATCAACCAGCAGGAAAATCAAAGACAACCCCCCCCCACCAACTTATCATTTGCAATGTGTGCATGTGTAATTTAATTACATGTATACATACAGTTAGCTGTTCCTTTCCCCTCTTTTTCTCCCCTTCCCCTCCTCTCTCTTTTTTTTTACCATATTTACTTACTCTTAATATTTATGTGTGTACCATAGACCGGTGGTTCCCAGGACTGCAAATGGGCTGACAAATCATTTGCAAAACTGTACAATTTTGCTGAAAAAATGTAGAAATATATATAATGTTGTTAAATGTTTTAAAAAGAAATGATCATTGAATATGTTTAAGGACATAGTTATCATTAAAATAAAGAGTTCTCTGAGCAACCATTATTTGGCCTCCATATTGTTATGAGAGAGAACCGTTGCCATAGACCATGTGTATCGATGCATGTGCTTGTACATACAGTATGATATACTGAATTATATGTGTTTAGATATTTTTCTCTCTTTTCTTGTCCCCATTTTTCTAATAGTTTGTTTTCCTGCCCTCTTAGCTCAAACACATTTTTCAAAACAGTAAGAGCACAGGAACAACATTACAGTGTGTCTTCGAGTAACAAGTAAAGGTCAACAGCTCCATATGATTGATCCCTTTTTAAATGTGGGTTACAGTGACACAGTAAGCTGTTTGTCTTTAGTCTTAGTCGGTATCAAAGCACTTCAAGGTACTTGCAAAAAAATTAAACATTAAAGAGAGCAAGACAACTCAGACAAAATGACCCAGCAGACAAATTTTCACCAAGGTACAAAGTGAACATGATACTGCATCTCTATGAAATTCACTCTAATGTTGCAGTTTCTGCTGTTTAGCACTAGATGTTGGTAGAGGGCTGAGAATCCTTGATGCAGCTTTGATGCTACTGTTAGGGTTAGCCTCTTTTGCAACATATTTCTAATTTAATTCGGGTTCTAACAACAAAGGATTGGAACCCTATCGAGTTTGTGCCAGTTTATTATTAAATTAAATTATTAAATTAATTATTACTAAAAACCATATAACTTGACCAAACCCCTCGCAAGGTGAGTCCAATTGACTTAAAATTTCCTGCACAAGTCCACCATAAAAGTCTGCCATGATGGATTTTTTTGCTAATTTGCATAAAGTAAAAAACATGATTATGAATACAACTTTTTGGATTCTGACTGAGAAACACATTTCTATTATAAATGAGTAATATCTGTTGGAAAACATGGCTGCCATCAACCAAAATAACTTCGCATTGGGTTGGGTTTAACAAATATTGGCCTGAACTCCTTAACCATTTGTCCAGTCATCATTACTCTTGATGCAAGTCTTCAGTCCGGGATTAGGAAAAGGTTTACAAGAGCATTTTAGTCCCAACACATATGGGGCGCCACAAATGTGTATCTGAAAACCCAGTGGACAGATTTTCACCAGTTAAGCTGTGCATGCTCTGGGGGCAAGTATTAACCAAAATCCGAGGTTCCATATTGATCAGTGCAAGTGGGCGTGGCCTATCATTCTTATATTTGCTCATAACTCAAGACGTCTTTGAGCAATCCTGATTAAACTCACTGGAGACATCCTGCGCTGTCTCCTGAACATACAACCCACATATCATTCGAATCTGTGTGAAAAGTGTGTGATTACTGTCACTCCTTAAATTAAACTAGCTGCAGTGACTTCGCTTGGATTTGTGAAGGTTGAAATCTGCTTGTTGCTGCTCGTGGCTTTAATCTTGGATGATTGAGCCTCTTCCTTCTGTTGAGTGCAAAAAGTTAGAGGCTATATTTCAATATGAATTATGTGCCCCTGAAAGTAAAATCAATACAGTTTCTGCTTTCAGAGTTTCCATATGTTTTTGCCATTTAAATTTTGTTGATAGGACTTTGTTTTGGTGAGCAAAACAAGAATCCTCAGGACTTCACATGATCTCAATAAAGGCATAAGTAAGTTTAGCTGTAAGCCATGAATGAAGGCCCATTTCTCTACTGATGTAACAGTTCTTCTGGTATAACCTAATAATGAGGCAGGTTCAATCTAAGGCTCTCAACAGTGGTATGTGAACTTTTTTTGATCGAATCTGAAGTATTGCAGGGTCAACAATTTGACCTCAGTGACATGTTTAAGGGCTTCTTTGTCCTGAACTATGTGTTTTCATGCAGCCCATTTAACAAGCTGCTAGCAATTGTCTAACTTGCTGCCACAACTTTTTAACTAAGAAACTGAGGAGGAGATGCAGACAAAAAATTATAACTGTGCAGATAATACACAGTTATATTTTTCTTTCAATACAAAAGACCTCAGTGAACTCTCCACACTGCATGACTGTCTAAAAGCTATCAGGGAGTGAACGTCTGACAACTTCCTCAAACTTAATCATGAGAAAGACAGAAGTCCTCATCATAGGCAACAAGAGCAGCTCAGTAAAAGTAAAACTGTGTATAGGTCCTCAAGCAGTAAAGGTCAAACTTAGCTAAAAAAACCGAAGTGTTTTCTTTGAACAACATATGAATTTTGAATGTCACATAAATAAATTGGTCCAATCTAGTTTCCTCCAGTTGAGAAACACTGGTAAAATTAAATCCTTACTATCATTTCAAGATCTAGAAAAGATTAACCATGTTTTTCTTTCCTCCCATCTTGGTTAATGCAACTCACTGTTCACTACCCTAAATCATTCTTCTGTGTCTCAGCAACAGTTCAAAATGCAGCTGCCAGACTGCTAACTTATACACAGCACAGGTCACACATATTACACCAGTACTGGCAAATCTACACTGGTTGACCACAGAGTGCCGTATTGATTTTAAAATTTGTTTAATCACCTATAAAGCATTAAACTGGCTGGTCCCATCTTATATTTCTGAATTACTGTGCCCACAGGTGAGATCACTGAATAAAGTTTTACTTACTTACAAATCTCTAGATGGGAAGTTTTATTTTTTCAAAAGCTCACTGAAAGCCCATGTGACAACTCTGTACAGTATGCAAAATTGAGTAAACATACTAAACATTTAATAGAGAAAGAAATCATGAGGTTAGACATTTTATCGTAAAGTATCTTAGTATATAGCTTAAACATAAGTCATACATGCCACAACTCAGATCTTACTTTGTGACCCAGCTTCCTCCAAAAGTGCGTGTGATATGTAGTTGATTGTCCGGAGGTATTCACAGTAAGCTTCCTGCAGAGAGACCACAAGCGTGTAAACAGTAAACAATGCCAGATACCCACAGAGATTGCTATGCACTGCTTCAGTCAATTCAGCTGTAGTTTGTATAGAGTCAATGTCAAGTCAATACCAGTGTCAGTGTTACACATACTCACTTATGAGGAAAGAAAATATTACTGACTAAACAGATTTTTACTGCTGTGTAATTTAATAAGGTTCACAACCCAAGAGAAATAAGCCGTCAACATGTAGAAGTGGCCTGTTGTGTTATTTGTGGCTTGTTGTATTGTCTCAATGCCAGATTCTCCAAACACACTCTGATGACTATGTCTGACCATTTCAACATTCCTTTCCTCAGTTTTACACCTTAATTCAACATCAGAATTTTTTTTTCCGTTCTTCTCTACCACTGAACAAAGTGCTAGCACTTATGATGGATGGATAGTCATTCTTTTACTATAATGGTCCATGTTCAGGTAATATGAAAGTCTATTTGGTGATTAAGGATTTAAAGAAAAGTATAGAAAATACCTATGTTGTAATAGCAAGTCACTATTAAATCAAGACTACTTCTAAAAAAAACCTGTTAACTATTACTACTATTGATACTATTTCACTACAACCACTAATAAATATAGGTTATTTAATGTTAGCAAACGTTTTTATTTTATATCAAGATAAACACTCTATAAGCCACACTATGTAGTGTACACCCTGCACCCATTTACGGCATCAGTTCTATTGACCACCATGATACTGAAGCAGTTAAGGTGAAAGTTAAAGGAATTTATCTGGACCTGGTCTAATGTGACCTAGATGTGAAAAAAATTGCATTTTTACAAACAGAATCAAGAATCTGAGACTTTGTTTTAAAGAGTCTTTAGCTGTCTGTGATAATCTGGTTCAGATTTGACAAGTCTAAGTAAAGTGGTTTTTGAACTGGACCTGTTCTGAACAGCGTTGTGGCTATAATCAGAGTCAGTTGAGAACATATATAGAGTACAGTTATAGTTATAGAGAATATTTGCTTTGACTGCAGTGTCTAACACCCTTTCGCAACAAAGGTACAAAACACTGAGAATCAGTTGCTTAGTATTGTAATTTAAGTTTGCCTCAACTTTCACTTTAACTGTTGAATCAAGACCTGCAAACTAGTAAATAACTTCAGCGTCGACTTTTCAGAATGTTGTTTTTGTTGGCCTAATGAATTAAACTTTGCTTGCATTGCATCACAGTTTGGTTTTGGCCCTATGTGCTGATATAGTGACAGTAACTGAATTAAACAGCATTATCTTGCTTTCTAAATTTGAATTCTCAAGCTGAAAATGCCAATAGATGAACAACAAAAGTATCTTATCTACAGTAAAACTGTTTTGACCTCCCATAAAAAAATGATACAAAAGAGTAAATAGTCTATAAAAGCATATCACCTTCAAATAAGGGCTACTGAGAGAAGAGGAAAGCAGATATCTAGTGTAAAATGTTCCAACTGACATGACATCTCAATAACTGATTTACATATAATCTGTTATGAGTCAGACAGTAAATTCCCTTGTGTAAAATAATGGTGATATTATATAATAAGTGATCGTGTCATGTTTAATAAAGCTTATTGTCTCGATATCTGACAGGCTTTATCCTACTTTTACTTTTTCTTACTAGTTGTATAAATCTAATTCAATAGTGACTAAACATCATTAGAATAGTCTAAAATAAAGGTATAGTGTTAATTGTTAACTTTTATTTGTATAGAGTTTAACAGGACGAATTTTCATGCTTTTGGAATAACAAGCTAACTTCCGTCTAAAATTATATTAATGACATTAACTACACGAGTAAAGGGTAGCCAATAAAAAGGGTAATGTTAATGGTTCATATATTTAATGACAAGCGATTTTTACAGAATAAACATTCAAGCTTTCTCTCCTCTCTCAGCCCAGGAGCTGTGTTTACTTTACCCATGAAAACTGAAGTGACAGGTTAGCTTGCTAACCCACTAAGAGCTCCCGCCCCCTCCGTCTGTTTACATCACCACAGACTGGTTCCTGTGCGGGCTTAAAACTGCGTAGTAATGTCGCAGTCAGGCTGTGTAGCACACTACCTTATGTCTGCTCCCTCCATCCAGTTGTATTGCTACTTTGGCCATTTTCATGGCATTTTGAAGAGCTGTCACACCACTGTCAGCTGTAGCCATGGTTAGTCCGGATCCTCTTCTTCTTTGCCCGTCCTCCTCCTCGTTCTTCTTCTTTGTGTTCAGTCACGGCACATTGTAAACAAACTTTAAATAGTGTGCTGCCTCCTACTGTACGGGAGTGACAATCAACCCACTAACCCAACTTCATGCAGTGTGTGCCTTTTTTACGAAAGGGCAAAAATAAAATTGTCATTTGAAAGGACTGTGCTGTGGGACTGATTGTAGTGCAGTAAATAAAAGTAAAAAAGCCAGCAGAAGTTTTGAGGAAGATAATGAAAACATAAAACTGATCATACAGAGCATGATCACAAAGTAGTGTGATCATGTTATACAGTTACATATGGTTCATTTCAAACTACAACATAAGTATTATTCTTTTGTTGTTTTGTTTTTATTATTTGCACTTTAAAATAGATGCTGGTTTATCGTATTTTTATTCTAGGTAATAGCCTATTTTATTTTCTGTTCATCTTGTGCAATGGCCCAAAGACTAAAGATTATACAGATCACGATCACAGAAACAGATCTAAATGGTCCTGAAGGGGTTGTAGTGTTACATGTGAAAAGCTCCTGACTACCTGCAACATTAGTATTATTCTTACTAGTTTTTTGTTTTTATTGTTTGCACATTAATATGGAGTAATAGTCTAATTTATTTTCTGTATATCTGGGCAATGGCCCAATTTCTTTTTCTTTTTTTTTATTGTTTTAGGTGGGAGGGGAGATAATTATTATGTTGAGTTATGTTTCATGTTTAAGAACTTTTTTCTCAAAATTTAAAATAAAGATTTTTGAGGAAAAGACTGCATCTGTTGCATTTACTGACATAGAGGAGCTTCATCATTTACATTTTATTATCATTTTCTGTAGGCAAATTGCCTGTCTCAACTTGAGATGTTTAATTTGAATTGAGAGAGTTTTTCACGAATCTAGCCTGTTTTCTTCTTAAAGTGTAACAGATTGATGCAAATCCACGGATCATCTTAAAGAGTTTGGAATCCTCCCATTGTAGTTTGACAAAATAGGGGCCCCCAAACAGCATCTTGAAAACGGCCCAAAAATCTAGAAACGGCCCTGCCTGTCAGTGTCCTAACGATGGCGATGTTAGATAAAGATGAGGCAGAACATTTTTCACCTGAGACCCTGGTCTGATCTAAAGTCCATGTTGGAAATTTTGGAAATAAAGAAAGATTTCTGTCATTTTAAATGTTTGCTGTGTTTACCACAACCAAACTTTATCACTGCCTAAAAAAAAAAGAAATATGAAAACAACCCCAAACAGCAAAATAAATTTGGCCTGTACTCTGGCCATATGCTTTTATGCGTTTTCTTCTGGCCCAGTATAAGCCCAATTCGTGGCCTGAATCTGGCCCATATACAGCATGATTGTACCAATTCTTGCACACACACAGAAAATCTTGCAGCTGGGAAAAAATACGAGAGGATAACAGCTGAATCCGCTCAGATGTGGAAGTATTTAGGCCAGATTCAGCTGACAACAGAGGCATGTGCTGAGTCAGAAGTTTCATTTTGATGTCTGGGACATCAAAATGAAACTGCTTTTCTTGATTCAATTGTGTTTTTATGGCAATTCCTACAGGCTTTGTAGCATATTCTACAAGTTTTTCATTATTCAGGTTCTACAAGTCAGTCAGTTATTAGGCTGGTGTCATTAGGTTCTGTAAATGCACTGTAGAACAATACAACATTGCGGTGACATATACTTTCACTATACTTTCATTGATACTTGGTCAAATATTACTCCATGTATTAGAGTAATATTTGACCAGGAGACCAGGAGTATCAATAGGCCTACTTTGACTCAAGTAATGGAGCTGTGTACTTTGTCCACCTCTGATAATAATGAATAAAAAACATTTGGAAAGTCACCACATTATCTATGTCATTTTATATATGCCCTCAGTAATTATCAAAACATTTATGTGATCCAAAAGGTTTTTTAAAAAAACCCAGCAACAATAGTCAAGTCAACAAAAATTTAATCTTACAGAAAGTCGACTTTTACTGTAGCTAATAATGCTATGAAAACCACATACTATCTCCAACGGTTACATAACGGACGGCGAGAGGCGCTGTATCACATTTCCTTTTGTGTTTTCCTCCAGTTGTACTTCCGGGTTCTAATGTTTACAGCTGGTAGCATCGCTGAAACCACAGAGCTGGTTCCTGGCTTATGAAAACCTTCTTTTATGTAAAAACAACATGTACTCCAAGTACTAGGATTTATTTACCGTCACGGTAGGCTACGCCACAAGACTGCATTAGTCACAACGTTAACGCAAACTGCATTTTTGACAGCAGCTAGCAAACGTAGCAGGCTCAGTCAGGCTAAGCTAGCTGATAGAAATGAACATCTCATGAAAAGAAATTTGTCGTCATGCAAAAAGTATAATATTCCAGATGTTTCTGTGTGTGTGTATGTTTATTTTATGTATTGGTTTTTGTTTTCCTCTCTTTGTAACGATAATTACATGAAGCCACTTAAGGTTGTTAAATAGCATCTTTAAAAAGCATTATCACTGTGGGGAAATATATTCAGCAGCAAAAAGTGGTTCAGCAAAGTAAATTAAATTAAATAATTCCAAATGGTGTTTTTGTAAAATTGAATACAGCTGTTAATGGCAACATTAAAAAAATAAATTAGTAGCAATGTATGAATGTTTCAAATGGAAAGGCATGATGGTGAACAGAGGGTTTGGAAAATAGTGAGCTCACTCTAAGACAAACACATGATGATATCTTTGGACAATATAGTGAAATATGGACAGTAATCATCAGTAATAATAATCAAAGATGAAAATGTTTGTTTATTATATCAAAAGACATAAGACCTAGATAAACTAATTGGGACTTGCCTTACATTGCATATCTTTACAGTGGCGCAGGCAGCAGGCCTCCATCATCGGGATCAACTGCTGACAGTCCAAGTACAGAATAAACCATGAAGAAGAAAAGCAGACGTCCAAGGTCATGTGAGACTTCACGACAGACCAGCAGGACACAGATGACAGCGAGCGTCAGTGAGGAGAAGAGGACATCTGGAAACAGAGGGAGACCTCGAAAGACTGTTCCTGTCACCACAGACAATTTTTACCATGGTACCGCTGCAACAGACAAGACTGTTAACTTAGACTTCAGTGTGAGAGCTGCTGACGCCACACAGAAACATCCAGAGAGCAAGTCGAGGTCTTCAGGTGAGGGGCTCATTGCTGACCCTAATGTGTTGTGTCTTGTAAAGATTGCAAGTTACAATAAATTCATGCCAGAATATCAGCAAACATTTACAACATTTTCTTTGTCACTGGCTTCCACATATGAATTCAGCATGAATGCAATTGGTTAATGTTTAAATGACAATTGTTTAAGTCTTAATTACTACCACATCTGTTCCCTTGTAAGATTCTGCTGTCACCAAAATTGTGTTTGTTGTTGTAAACAGTGGAAAGTGGATTATTGCTGCTTATTGGATTAGATGTAGGAGTCCAAGACTGTCTGCTTTACTACAAAGGTCTTAAGTGGTGTTTTGTATGCACATGTCTGACATAAACAAATCCTAGTTTAAATTGCAAGTTTTTTAATTTGGTTTGGTACAATGTGTTTTTCATTTAAATAAAGAAATGAAAAGATCCAAGTAGGGGACCTTTAGTTCAAGTCCCCTTCGCTTTACTTTGAAGACCCATCCCGTTTAATGTTATAACTGAAAGTTTAGAAAAGAATGATCTCTGTTTTTTGTTCCACAGCCAGACTATCCACTGCTATCTGCCGGCTCTGCCATGGAAAGTTCTCTCCACGCAGCCTGCGGCACGCCTTCAACAGGTGGTCTCAAGATTCCATCGATATTGTTGACGATGAGTCAGACGCCGCGGCCCCGTCACCCCTTTTATTCCACACAGATTTCCAGCAACTGGTCGGGGTCCAGTTGAACCGTGACCCCCGTTTATCAGAGTTTATCTGCAAGAAATGCCATGCCAAGTTCTACAAGTGCCACAGCATCCTGATCAGGTTTCTGCAAAGAGTCAATCTCCCGCCAGTTGGGAAAGAGAACCTCAAAAGCCGGTGAGTCCAATAAAAAATTTACCTTAGTGTGACTTTAAAATTGTGTGTGAATTGCAGGATTTTCAAATGTTCAGACAGAAAATCAACAAATATAAGCAACTGTTTGTTTCTTTTTCAGGAAGAGAGCAAAGTGTCCCGAGTCATCAGTAAATCAAGGTTCAATAAGTAAATAAAAGCATTTCTTTGATTTTACTTTCAGAGATTACATAAAATACAGGTCAACTGATTGCATTACTCTTTTGACCCTTCTGCTGTTTTCTTTCAGCACCACCGTCCTTTACCTCGGACTCTAAGTGCCTCCACAGTCTGGTGTCCTGGGCTCACCACCACGGAGAGGCCTGCCGCTCCTGCCCCGACCTGAAGGAGGTGCTGAAGGGCCAGTGCTGGGGCTCTGTTAAGGCCGTGTGGGGTTGTGTTGACGGTCACAGATACATCATGGACACTCAGTGCACCACTACTACTAATCCAGGTTACACAATGAACTTTAGCAGTGGAGTGTTAGGGAGTGGCAATGGCGATGGAGTGATGTCAGAGGAGGATGAACTGGAGCAGGAGGAGGAGGAAGATGAAGTAGAACAGCCCAGTGGGAATGGAAGGACCCCAGGTGGAAGTATAAGCACTCTGGATCAACACAGTCCACCAACAGTCATGGCACAGACTCAGAGCTCAGCACTGGTTGACTGGGCCAGCAACACTGAAGGTGAGACAATTGACAAGTCGTGATCCCAGGAGGAGGAGCATCAACTGTAAATGTTTGAAGGGCACATGTCCAGCACTGCCTGTTTCTCCCCTCTGAGGAACTGTGATGGATGTTTGTGGGTTTTTTTGTCTAGCATTGAATTGTTGAAATGCAACCTCTCACTCTATAATATATTTTGGTTAGATCACTTTAAGTTGACCCAGTAAGTTATAGGTTTTAGTTTGTTCTGTTAACATTGTTTGTGTGTAACTAGTATATTAAGAACAGTGTCTGACCAACAGTCCAAAACCTAAAGATATTCACTTTACAATGACATAAAGAGAAAAGCACATTTTCTCATTGAAGAAGCTACAACCAGAGACTTTGGGCATTTGATTAAAAAATACTCAAAAAGTTAATCAATCAGCAAAATAGTTTCAGATTAATTTTCCATCAATGGACTAGTCAATTAATCAACCAGTTGTTGCTGCTATAATTAGCAGCAGAGACACACTCTTTCTCCATCCTTCTTTCTCTCTCTCTCTTTATGTTAAAGCAAACTGTTGCAAACTGTTGGCGCACCTGCTCCACCTGTTTGTTCATGCAATTATCCAGTCAGCCAATCATGTGGCAGCAGTGCATAGAGCAGATACAGGTGAGGAGATTCAGTTCATGTTCACATCAAACATCTGGATGAGGAAAAACGTGACTCAGTGACTTTTGACTGTGACATGATTGTTGGCGTCAGACGCTGGTTTGAGTTTTTCTGAAACTGCTGATCTCCACGACAGTCTCTAGAGTTTTTTCTCAGAATGCAGGCTGGTGGTGGTATAATGGTAAGACGAATGTTTTCTTGTCTCACTTTGGGCCTTAATACCAAACAGTCATGGTCTGAATGTCACAGTCTCTCTGACTATTGTTGCTGACCATGTTCATCCCTTCTTGGCCACAGTTCTCCGTCTTCTAATAGATAGAAGATCTAGAGAACAGGAGATTGGCAGCTTTAACGTGCAGCTGAAAAATCAGCAGAAATGATGTGATGCAGTTTCAACACAACATGAGGAATCCATGACATGTAGAACTGAGGCTGTTTGAGAGCAAAGGAGGAAGGAGGAAAGTAGACCATATGTTAATGTGGTGTTCCAGTGTATCTCCATATGCATACTGCGACCATTTGATTCCACATGGGTCCGTGAGGCACATGTGACACAGACTCTTTTCCCTGCTCAGGTATCTTTACATGCTGGGTCTATTTCTAACAGCCGACTCGAGTCTCTAGTTGAATTGCTGGTAATGACAACATAATAATATGAAGATATAGACGACTGCCCTCCCTAACACAGATACAGACATCTGTTAGCAGTATAGTAGGAACACCTGGCTAAACTAACACAGTCTACTGGCAAGAGTGCTGAATAAATCCTTCACCTTCATGAAGTGTTATATGTTCACTTCATGTTCAAACTGTTCTGTGTCATTTAGGAGGCTGCAGTTTTGGGTGCTATTGAATTGTATTTGTTTACACTGACAGGTTTTTTATTTTTTTATATCAATGAGGGTGGGCTAAGTAAATGAAACTCCTCTCTGAGTATGTTATGGTGAATTAAATATAAAATTTGACTCAATTGTCAATAAATACAGGCCTTTCTATACATTCTCAAGTTAATTCAGAGACAATAAATGTTAACCTCCATGAAGTTTATCATGTTGAGTTTTTGCTGAAACCTGAACTGAATTGTGTTGTATTTAGTGTCCACTCTCACCTGAATGGATTCACCAGCCAGACTGAAAAAATACCTTGTCTGTATGAATCCTTGACTCACATGGTTGTGGATTTTTCAACTAGATTTTACAGGTCATGAGGAGCCTTTGTCTCCTGCTCTGGCCCAGCTGGAGACAGGACAGCTGACAGTGATGTGTCTGACAGGTGAGTCACACAGCTCATCTTTTTTGCTGTCTTTTCTCATTTTCTTATAACTGCCAGTTTGTGGGTATGAGGGAGTATTAAGGCCACATTAAGGAAACATAAAAGAAATCTGAAAGTTTGAGAATAAAGTCAATATATTACGAGAATAAAGTTGTAAAGTGAAAGGAATAGTCAGTGGCAACCTGAGCTGTTTGTCTAACAATAGAACAGACTCAGTTTCTTCACAATCTTTTCAATGTCCTGGTGCTGATGCTGCTGGATGGATGATGATGATGATGATGCTTGCTGATGATGATGACGCTTGATGATGATGATTGAATGATGATGATGAATGATGATGATGATGATGCTGTGTGTGTGTCCAGGGTCATCTCTGAGGATGAATTTGAGGAGAGTAGAAAAGGAGGGTTGTCAGACGACGAGCTGTTCGAGCCGTACTCAGACAAGAGGTGTGTACCAATACTCTTCACCAAAGAGCAGAGATGGGCTCAGAATGGGTGCTGACAGAAACCTAAGTTACTGTGTGTGTACTCAGTGTCAGTCTCTCCCCCTCCCAGAGCTCGCAGGGTGGACTGTCTCCAACAAGAGAAGACGAAGCCCAAAGGCCCCAGAGGAGCCAAAAATCAAAAAGAAACCTGGACCCAAACCTGGCTGGAAGAAACAAGTTCAAACCTAAAGGGTGTGTAGACACATTTGTCACAAGTGGAGTCCTGCAATTTTCTTAAACAACACAAGTTAAACTTTATTTAAATGTGTAATTTATTATTAATTTCACTTGGAAGCAACAGATTATAGTTTGTTAAACTGTTTTCAGTCTGTTTTGCTTTAGTTCATTTAGTCAGTGGTTGTTAGCTCTGTATGCCTAATACAGTACATTAACAAACTTCTGTTGTGTTTTTGTTTTAAGAAGAGGAGCTGCCCACAATCTACAAGTGTCCGTATCAGGGTTGTACCGCTGTGTATCGAGCTCCTGACGGTTTGAAGGTCAGAATTCACAGACGCCTGACACCATGTCACTAAATGTTTAGTAACTGGATCAATATACTACTATTAGGGATAGTATTGGGTGTCTGGCCTACAGCAAGCTAATTTCACTTCCGTTTCTACTGTAAAATAATTATATCTCATGGTGTATAGAACCATGGATATAGTATATATATAGTGCATTAGTTCCATGGTATATTTTAATCTACTCCACTCCAAGAGGAGACGCTTCTTGTCCTCTGTACTGCTCCACATACTTCACGACTGTAGAGGGAACAAACACATTGAAGTTTGAGTACTGTGTAGCAAAGTTTTTCTTTTGGTGCAGCATGACTCTAACAAAGCTCAGTTACTGTGTTGCTGGTGAAAAAGTGTTGACTTATCGTGCTCTGGCTCATATACATGAACTATACAACGACTTTCATGAAATCATGTAAATCAAATCGACATGAGCACGTTGGTATTTTGACACCTGTATGAAGCCGGCTGTTTCAAAGTCTAGTTTCTCCTCTGGTGGGATTTTTAGAAGCACATCAAGGAACATTCATGAGGAGCTGACGAAGAGCGACCCTGGTCCCCATAGGCTGCAACAAGGTTGTTCATGATCGACTGCTACCTGCAGCGACACGTCAAGCTCATCCACACAGGTGAGGTCAACAAAGGTTTTGTAAGTTTGTTTTTTAGACAGTGTTTTTATCAGCAGAGCATTAGTCATGTTTTCATGTTTATTTTTAGCTTCTGCTAATGTCTGTCCCTCTGTGTTTCCAGAGGAAGAGGAACTACATCTGTGACCAGTGTGGTCAGACCTTCAAACAGAGTGACGCATGCTCTTCAAGTTCACTTGCAGATGAGGGCATTCAGGAGCCTACAGCCACTGAGTGAGTTAGGCTTATCTGCAAACTTCAATTATTAATATTTATTTAAACC